TCTAATTGCCTGTACTTGACTGACTTTTGTTTTTCTCTGTGTGTCGCTGCGGCTCCTGCCGTGCCGGCAGAGAGGGTGATGTATGTCGTTGCCAGGGTGGATACGCAAGTATAGTCCCATGCTAACTGCCTGCCACCCTTCCACGGACGCAGTGTGATTCCGTCTGGTCGGCCGGCAAAGCTAACAGAGTCACGGTTCAGTAGGTTGCGGGGCTCTCTCTCCGCTGGACACTGAGCAGAGGCAAGGCTTCTTTTAATGATGTCGTTGACTTCGTCGTGTCTAGTGTGCCAACCACCCGATTTTCCACAGTGCAGGCCATGCAATCCATATTCGTCAGCATCTGCCTCGCCGCAAATACACCTGTGAACAGTGTGGATAGGGGCAGCAAGGCGGAGAGCGACTGCAATACGGAGCTCCTGCGGATCAAGACGTGTGCCTGTCGCAGACATAGGGACTGCCAGAAGGAAGTCCCCTGCATGGGGAGCCTGCACAGCTGTGAGGCGTGCACGATCACTGGGGGTTGTTGCTGCCTCCAGCAAAGCTGTGGCTTCTTTGTCTACAATGGGGCTGTCCCAACTGGATTGTTTCTTGGCTTTCGGCATGGCTGGTCTGATATATATACATATATACTATATATATATATATATATATATATATATATATATATATATAATATATATATATATATATATATATATATATATATATATATATATATATATATATATATATATATATATATATATATATATATATATATATATATATATATATATATATATGTCGTACCTAGTAGCCAGAACTCACTTTTCAGCCTACAATGCAAGGCCCGATTTGCCTAATAAGCCAAGTTTTCATGAATTAAAATATTTTCTCTAATTTTTTTCTTATGAAATGATAAAGCTACCCATTTCATTATGTATGAGGTCAATTTTTTTTTATTGGAGTTAAAATTAACGTAGATATATGACCGAACCTAACCAACCCTACCTAACCTAACCTAACCTATCTTTATAGGTTAGGTTAGGTTAGGTAGCCGAAAAAGTTAGGTTAGGTTAGGTTAGGTAGGTTAGGTAGTCGAAAAGCAATTAATTCATGAAAACTTGGCTTATTAGGCAAATCGGGCCTTGCATAGTAGGCTCAGAAGTGAGTTCTGGCTACTAGGTACGACATATATATATATATATAATATGTGTGTGTGTAATGGAGTCATGTAAATAACCAAGCACACCCATCTTGCCTGGGTCTCCATCTGGTAGTGGTGATCAATGTCTCTCTCAGCTGGACGTATTTTTAGGGAATGACACTTGATAATGGGTCACTATGTGCTAACCTGACGGAGCTTTATCTGTCGAGCTTTAGCTCCTGGGTTCCAGTGTGTGTGTGTGTGGGTTTATACGCTCTTGGGTCTCGCCTCTTAGTCTGCTGTCGTACAGGTTCCCGATCTTGTCGAACTCTTGTCATATCTGCATGTAGGAAAATAAAGGAAGATGCAGAATGAATCAAGGAATTGGCCCGTGCAAGTCCCTGTAGTTTATATATAAATTGTCAGTGTCCTTCTCTATTTCTACTTTCTATTGTCACCTATGAGAAAGGCTGCTCAATCCTCTGTGGCTCGTGTGCGATGCGAGGCTGTTTTCTGTGTTGCTCCCGCGCCCTCAACTCTCCTAATTCTGGGATCAGTTATGCGACAAAATTGTTGAGTTTATCGATTGTTTGTTTTTTTGGGGGGAGCCTTGTCGAGGTGGGGGCTCTGTGCTGGCGCCTCATACTCTCGTATTGGTCTCCCGTATGTGGTACACTTTGCTCTGATTCATTCAGTTTTGAAGTATCTTTTTTTCTTTTGGCGAGGGGTAGGGGGCAGCCGAGTTTACCTTTGTAGCCTGTGTATCTTAACTCGGGTTTTTAGATGAATTTCTTTGGATTCAGATATGCCTTGGGATCCACCATTGCCTTAATTCTATCAAGAGCACTATGGCATCCCGTATAGTTTGGAGACTTGTATAAACGTCACGGCGTTCATAGGAAGGCTAACACTCCTGTGGAGAAGTTCTGTGGGACTGTGTTATCCTGTGGCCCCGCAATCCCCGATCGTCCACAAGTAGTTGGGCACCATTTCTCCCCCCCCCCCTCTGTCCCATCCCAAATCCTTATCCTGACCCCTTCCCTGTGCTATAGTCGTAATGGCTTGGCGCTTTCTCCTGGTAACGCCCTCCCTTGTTATAAGTAAATGTTGTTTTAGATTTAGCTACTCAGAACGAAGTGTCCATGTAGCACGGGCTATGGTGAGCCCGTAAATTATCAGCAAAGAACTGGTATATGCCAAAGCATATCTGAATTCACGTATTTTCTCTTATGATCATCACTCACCACTCCAGACTCGTCGCAAAGGAGAATATTTATGATTTGAGATAAGAAATGGAGGTGGAACGCGAAATCCACAATCGTAAGGAACTACAGAGGATTTTGTAGTCTGTAGTCACTCAAAACTTCGTGTAGTCACTCAAAACTTCGTGTAGTCACTCAAAACTTTGTGTAGTCACTCAAAACTTCGTGTAGTCACTCTTAAGCTCAGTGGTTGAGAATGCCTACTGGAAATGCCTGAACCAATAACAGGCTACACGGAGCTCCTTAATTCTCTGTCTTGCCAAAGCCAAGCGAAGATTAACCATTAAAGTGCGCAAGACATATATTGAAGATCAGTTAGTTTAGTTCATGTATTATGCACCCCATACCCATCTTGTGGGCGGTAGTGGAAAGGGTTACAGAGGCACATAATGGGCTCAGGGACTGAACCTCACAATTCATTTAGCTAAGCAAGTTACAATCTTGATGAGCTAGTTACAAAATTCAATATAAGTCGTCACATCAACAATGGGTTCGAGATCGACCACAAGTTTATTGAAGATCAAATCGTACAAATCATGATTGCAGAAAATGTGAATAACTTTGAACATATCTTATAGTAGTTTTACAAATTTAAGAGACATTTGGATAGTTATGTAGTTATGGTTTCATACAATATCTTTCACTTTTTGTTTGGTTTGATTTATGCAGCAAATGCTGAATGCATACTTTTATATTTTTGACAAACTTTCTGGTACATTGTATCAAGATTCAAAATTAATCCGTAGCGTAGTAGGCTCTTTCATTTTGTACATTCCCCAGCTATTTATAAAATATATATAAGAACAAGCCGTAAATAATGTGTTTACAGAGACGAAGATATATAAAGTACGCTACACAAGGAAGTCTCTGTGCCGCCAACTGTGGCCGCGCGGACGTCACAATTTCCTCGACTTTACATTGTCAACAAACATAATTCATATTTATCTCGCGCTCTGGTATTTACATTGTACGCTTCTCCTCGTTGTTTCAAACAATTCGTAATTCAGTAACTATAATCCCCGCAGGTGGCTACCCGATTAAAATGGAATCAAAGTTACTATTTATCGATTAAAATGGAATCAGAGTCACTTTTAAGACATTATATGGGGCGGGTTGAATGTGCGGGCCAGCTTTGACAAAGGACTACAGCTTCCCAGAAGCCTTGGCACGGTGTTTACAGGAACTGGCACTGTGCCAAGCCCTTCTTGTCGCCTCTACCACTTGCTTAACCGTAAATGAATCTCTGAAGAATGGATTTATCGCGTGGTCTCAAAATCTGAAAGTCACTTCCTTGTGGAGTGTTCCCGATTTCCTTGTGATAGGAATATACTCGCGGAGGCCTGGTTAAAGAACCTTTTGTGCTACTGTTCACAGGATGAGTATGGGGTGCACAATGAACTACTGCTCATAGGATGAGTAAGGGGTGCACAATGAACTACCACTCACAGGATGAGTGTGGGGTGCACAATGAACTACCACTCATAGGATGAGTATGGGCTGCACAATGAACTACCACTCACAGGATGAGTACGAGCTGCCCGATGAACTACCACTCACAGGATGAGTAAGGGGTGTACAATGAACTACCACTGACAGGATGAGTATGGGGTGCAGAATGAGCTACCACTCACAGGATGAGTATGGGGTGCACAATGAACTACCACTCACAGGATGAGTATGGGGTGTACAATGAGCTACCGCTCACAGGATGAGTATGGGGTGCACAATGAAGTTACCTCATCAGCTGGCGGGACAATCAATTCACGAAAAAGTAAATTAGGCCTTGTTAGTGTCTTATATATTGTCACTGATTTGTTTTAGTCATTTATTAAAATTATAAAAGCCAGTCGTGTAGATTTAAAATCTAATCGAATACATAATAAATGCTACTCGAGAGAGCCCGATACATTATCACCGTATTAGTGAATTACAATGCGGTTAATGGGTCAAGGTTAAAAGCGTGATGAGGTAATGGTTAGTGTGCGTGTGTGTGTGTGTGTTAGCGACGGGTCAAGACGCGCCAGGTGGCACAGGTTCCGTTCTTCTAACTGTGTCAAGACTAAAGGCAGTTTGGGATGCCGGCCGGTCCGGGAATATATCTAGTACAGGCACCCGCGCCTCTCTCACACTTGGCCTTTGTACTGCCAGCTCTGCACAAGCCTCCTGGCTCTGCTCGCTCTTCAGTAACTGTGCGGGTTCTCTTGGATTAGAGACTTCTCTTCGCGCGGGTTCTCTTAGAACTCTTGGGGTCCCTCAGTCGTTGACTCTTCCTTCCAACTCTACAGCAGAAGGGAATTTCCGAAGACGTTAAATCACCTAACTACCAGTGGATCTCGCTTTACTCAAGATGGCTTGTGTGGTTGCTTATCCTGGTAATGTGGATTGGCTTTATTGGAGATTGGCAATTATAAGCTTACTGTACATATCTTTGTCTTAGATTCTGTGGGCATTTTACTAACATTACTCGTCACTAAGATTTTCCACCAGCAAAGAGCACATTTATGATCTTAGAACTCTTGATCTACAACCTGAATCACAAACATATGTTGAAGATATTAAGATAAGTGTTGTAGTGATCAATACTGACTGTGCTTCTAACCCGCCTTCCGCAGGAGACGCCAAGACTTCCTCTACAGTGTCCCCCTTCGGCGTCTCCCGCACCTCCGTCGTCACCGACTCCCGCAGCTCCAACCAAGGTAGGTCAACCTCCACCCTACACACGTCCCCACGAGGTCTAGGCGTGAGGAGGAGCGTGCAATTGGTGCAAATTCTTTACGTAGCTCAGTCGATTAAGGTAGCGTCTGGGATGCTCTCTGACGTAGTTGGTTCGAATCCTCGTCACGGCCCTTGTGGATTTGTTGGTGAGAAGGATGATGCCTTAAAGTTGTAATATGACCATAACATCCTTAACTGGAGTAATGTCACTTTGGATCACGAGTCTTTAAGAGTGCGGGGATAACCCACATGCAGGCAAGAATTACTTTTTTTATTAATTGAAACACTTGGATACACAACACTGCTGCTACCAGACTATATTCCCTTTCTTGGGAACTGGAAGCCTGTATTTAGGCTTGACCACCCCCACCCCCACAGGCCAACTGTTGACCTCCCCCAGGATGCAACCCACAACAGTTGTCTGACTTCCGGGTACCAATTTAATTGGTAGGTGAACAAATGCACCAGTTAAAAAGAAAAGTGCTCAGCCGCTTCTGGCCAGGACTTGAATACAGATTCTTCTATTGTGAGCTGAGGATATAGACTACCATGCCACTGCGGCCATATGAGGGGGTTACAGAGTATAATAATTCAAGAGTGAGTTTGCTATTTTTTCCTAGAACTTATTTTAATTTACCCTGAGGGCCACTATCTCTAGTAGCCTCAGTGGGGCACTATCTCTAGTAGCCTCAGTGGGGACAGGAAGTTGGTACATTGTCAAAGGTCCCCCCACCCCATTTGTCCTGATGATTTTATCAAGCTGGTTCTTGAATTGCAGCGGTGTTAGCATTTGCGGCTTCAGCGGATAGGCAGGTCGATGGGTTTGTTTTAAAAGTTTTAATGAGATCAGCCCTTTCACGTGTGGTTTGCAGTGTTGCTAGCCCTGTGGCCTTTAACCGTTCCTGGTATGAGACAACTTGAGCTGGAATGATTTTTGTCACCCGGTGTTGAACTTTCTTCAAAGCAGATGTGCCTTTCTGATGATGAGGTCTCAATGCTTGGATACAATATTCTAAGTGATTTACACAGTTGATTTACACAGCACCAAAGATTTACACAGTTGAATAATTACCAACTTTTTCTTGAAGTCAAAGGTTCACTTGACTATTCCTAGTTTTTTTTTAATGCAACTCCCACTTGTGCAACTTTCAAATTGGTGGATTCAGACTCCAGGGTCACCCTCTAGTCACCAGTCACTGAAAGTTGTACAGCAAGCGAGAGTTGTAGTAAAAAAGCCAACCAAGCCCTAGGAATAGTCAAGCAACTCTTTGACTTCAAGGAAAAGTTGGTAGTTATTCAACTGTATAAATCACTTGGACCACTTGGATTATTGTATCTAAGCATGAAGACACATCTTTACAGGTAGCCAGTGTATGAACAGTATACATCAGGCTGATATCAAGGTTCCACCCAGGATGCAACGCCAGAACAGTTGACCAACTCCCAGATACTATTTGCTGCTAGGTGAACAGAGGCATTAGATGAAAGGAAACTTGCCCAACCATTTCTTGGTATCCCAATTGTGAGTCGAGAACGAACCTTTTTTGAGAAAGTTCAACACGGATGACAAAATTCATCCCAGAACTAAGTCGACTCTCATACCTGGAACGATTGAGGGCTACAGGGCTAACAATGAAAGCCAGACATGACAGGGCTGATCTCATTGAAACTTATAAAATACTGAATTGAACAATTTGGAGGATATTGACCCAGACTGCTGCTTTAAAACTTTAAAAGGTCAGTTGTAACACAGACAAGGAACAATGGCTTCTGGCATAACAAGGCACAATGTAGAGAAGAAAACAGGAGATTATTTTTCACACACAGGATTATAAACCAATTGAACTGCTTACATGTCAAAGCCATAAGTTCCAAAACATTGCTGCAATTCAAAATCCAGCTGGATAACATCAGGACAAATGGAGGGGGGTAGAAAGAGACCTTGACAATCCACTGGGATCATATCCACATCAAGGTCACTAGTCACATGGTGGCCATTGGGTAAATTCAGGTAAATCCACACTAGCAAACTTCATGTTAAGTAAGAATCTATCTTCCAGTATTCATGTATGAAATAGTTATAAAATCATGCCAGTTGGTTTAAAATAATTGATAAATGAACATTTCCTAATAAATTCATTTGTAGGTAATTCAAGAGAGCACTATAGTTGTAGTTATGGGTATTTTGTTATGTAGTTATAGAGTGATATTGGATACTGGGGGATTATTCAGCATATTGAAGAGGTTTTTATGATGAAAAATATCCAAAGTCATACATGCTTAGGGCTATAAAGTATAATAGTAAAATTATTGTTTGTAGTTCAATAAATATGACAATCAAAATCATGTTTTTTACTCATTATAGAGTAATATAATTATTTATGTTCATATGCAGTAATAAAACTGAAACTTGTTCTCTCTCTCTCTCTTCATATATACAAACATTTTGTTATTGACATGTCTGTTTTCCAGCATCCAATGTCCAAAAGAGTTCCTATTCTTCAAGCTTCTCCACCTCCAGCACTTCCAATTCATCATCTTTCATCTCCAAAAGTAAGTTGACTTCTTTACTTCAATGTTGACTTCTTTACTTCAATATATTTAGTGGAAGACACAGGTTGAATTTGTGCTCGCCATAATAAAACTTTAGACGTACATTTTTGCCCCTACCTCCCCCTTCGTGAGATCAAACTACAGTACTGTACTGACCTTTCCCAGGATGCAACCCCACAACAGTCAACTAATTCTCAGATACCTATTTAGTGCTAGGTCTGCTAGGTGAACAGAGGCATCTGGTGAAAGGAAATGTGGCCAACCATTTGTGTCCCTCCTAGGAATCGAACCCGGGATCCCTGATTGTCAGTGGAGAATGAAGCCAGCTACATATGAATGCCATACTGTACTGTATAGTATAGTTTAGAGCAAATAATTTGTGTCATCTTTCTGCAGTAGTTTCCACCTGATTTGGTGCCTCTACGTATTGACTTGAAGTTTACTGTTCGTAAGAATAATGGTGAAAAGGAATGTTACTACTGAAATTGGAATTTCAGGGAATAGCCCTGTTGACTATTTTTTAGGACTAGATTTCAATCTGCATTGAGAAAGGAGTATCTCAACATTATGTAACTGTAACTACATCCATATTTACACATTATTTTAAACTTTAATTGTAAACCTATGTAACTGTAACTACATCCATATTTACACATTATTTTAAACTTTAATTGTAAACCTATGTAACTGTAACTACATCCATATTTTCACATTATTTTAAACTTTAATTGTAAACCTAGATATCTTTAAATATATCAAGAATGGTTTGGGATATTTAGTTGAGATTTGTGGTGCACATGACAGTATATGAAATCTGGAGTGTTGCAATGTTGTGTAGTGTATAAGGTGTGGTGAATAGACACACATAACAAATATCTCGAGCCTTCTGTTCCTATATTGCTTCCCTATTTTCTCTGGGCATATGCCCCCCCCCCCTCACCCCCATGAGTGGGAAATGGGTTACTGATGGTGATAATGATAATGAGATGATGATGGGAAATGTTGATATTTAGTCTGTATCTCAGATTTGACTAAAAGTTACATAAACAATATTGATTTACAGAACTTAGTTTTGTATTATTTAACATTTGCAAGGATGTACACTTACACATTTAAAGTGTTATAAAGCACATTATATTAATATATGTTTTCTGGCTAATTGGCAAAATTTTATATAATTATTATGGTATACATTTTTGTTCCACCATTTACAGTGGTAACCAGCATACATACATTTTCTTCTGTCCTCTATACAGTGTACTAAGAAATGTTGCTTCAATATCTTGAAAATACTGCTATTAAATTGCTCCTAATTTGTATGTACCTTAGTATAATCTTATATACTGGAAGTAATTGGCAAAAGGAGGTGCCAAGCCCAAAAGACTTAACACCACCTGTCACAAATATTAACAATTCCGAGATATCATTCCAAATGTCAATAAGAGCCAGTAAACACAAGACAATATCAACAGTATCTAGTTCACCAAAGATTTTATTAAGGGACATATGACTCAAATGATCCTTTGACTTCAGCGAATGAAGTGGTCATTCAACAGTTTTTGTGGCACTACTAAATTTGTATGCTATTTTGATTTATTACAGTATATCATATATTTATTGAATGATGTCACTTTTAATAAAACTTACAAAAGTAAAAAAACTGTGTACTAATAATATAATTGGTTACCTTCAGCCGACAGCAAAAAGGTTGTGTCTCCATTTGATAAATTCAAGCAATTGGACGCACAAACTTCCCCCCGCCCCGCAAGGTCAGTCACTCGCAATGTTCACGACTTTGTACTGCCATTCACCAGATTAAATTGCTTTTGGTGATGAGTGAGAGAACATTTGCTTGCACATCATTCTATGTATATTTGTATTTACTAAAAAACAACCTCTGGGAAAAGACAAACATTCTCTCTCTCATATTCTGGTGTGTAGACCATGATTTCTGTTTTTTTTTTTTTTATTTCTCTCCACTATAAGTAGATAGCAGAAGCAGATTTTGTAGATAATTAAAGGAATTGTAGCTTTGGATTTGCCTTGCTTTCAGAATTGTAAGACAATTATAGTGAATGATGTACATATAAGCATCATGTGTAATATAACTGATCTGATTTTGTTATTTAGTATTTCAGGTTACAGGGAATCACTGTATGTTAAGATGTATTGTGCATACTGTATTTGTAAAACATTGTCCTGCTTTTGTGTTCTGTGTCTGACACACTTGTTGGTTGAAATAGTTAACACTGGGATGGTTCTGAATTATGTACACTTGTGTACAATGTTGTACAAAACTTATTAGTAGATGTTTTGTTCTTTTTGCAGTTTTATATGGTGTCTGTTATAGCCCAAGATTATTTTCTACACAGGACACACCCAAACATATATTTATTGATTATTCCAAGAGACTTGTTACCCATCCACGAACACAGGACATTTTTCAAAATACTGTACTGTAGCCTTATTATCTAAATAAACTCTCCAACGTCTGGATGAGGCAACTCTTATAACATCATACACTAACTTCTCTGTGTTTTCTCAGTCCTTTTACCTTAGCCCTGCCCATTATAAGACTCAATGCTGCCACAATCAAAAAAATCATCCTTGACTTCTGTAAGCGAGCCACAGCCGAGTACGAGAGTAAGGTAGAGTTGGCATCCCATGGTTCCCATGTGTTCTCTTAGATAGAATGTTGCCCCGACCTGCTCTCCCTCTCACCTGGTGTGGTTCCCCAAAGTCTCTCTCTCTCTCTCTCTTACTTTATCAATAGTTAGAACACAAACCCTTCCTAATTAGTATAGGATATAAATAATTCGGTCCACATGCTTTTCTTAAGAAACGTATAAATATACACAACACTCTGTCATCATCCAGTATAGTATTAACACTCAGTATCCTCTTGACTATATGCATCTACTCTATATATAATAATCCTGTAGATGCTGAAGTTTTAAGAATGCTTATTAGGTATGGCTATTACACATAAAGTAATAAGCATTTGTAATAGACATAGTATAGGGACATAAATATACAATATTCTATCCACACTGTTTTATATAATAGTGTTAAAAGTTCTAACGATAAACATATTAATAAGTATTACATATATATAGTTGGCTAATGATCTAAACACTTATCACAAGGTTTACAACTAATTGTAAAAAAATCTATGGCTATAGATTTCTTTTATGGGCATGGGCTTTTAAAATATTACAGTATGCATTTGTTATGTATTTGACCTTGTCAACTTCATATCAGGTGCTTAATTTGTGCAATTTACATAATAATTATTAGATTTTGTAAAACGTTGTGTAGTAGTGTAGCTTTTTCAACTTGATTTATTAGTCTACACAGTAATGTGTGTCTAGAGGTACAAGAATTATTAGTCATACATTAGTTTGTGTTTGTTTTACTGATTAACGTGTAAATTCTGATTAGGATGGGATGAACATTTTTCTGCACTATCTGGTGAAGTGATATTGCTTATTTTCTCTTTAAGACTTACAATATTATTTGAAGTTCTTCTCTTTCCTGTCAACATTGTTGTGGATGAATGACTCTTGCATATCTGTCCTACATTAACACATTAATATAACACTAAATAATAGTCTACTTGAGAGATCGTAGGGTAACTTGGGAGATGTATAGAGCAGAACTGCTGCATGAGCTGTGTAGCACGAGGCACTAACCCACTGGGTGCCTGCTGGCTGCTCTCTGCTGCCGTTGCTGCTGCTACTATTGCCTGCTGGTCAGCGCTGCTTCACGGCCTCTTCCTCCTTCTACAGCTCTAAGTCGAAGTCTGCGGGTGGTGGCCCACTTTTCCAATTATCCAGTCAACTGAGTCGCAGCGCCTCTGGGGTGAAGGATATGCTGCTGACGTGGTGCCAGTGCCGCACCCGCGACTATAAGGTACACAGGGCCTCACATGGGCACCTTCACATGGCTCCATGCATGTAGCCCTGGACCCCACAACTGCGTAACATTGCACTACTCATCCACGTGACATTATACTGTTCTAGCCCACTTTGTGACAGTGGTAACACAAGCTGGTCAGCCGTAAAGCTCTGAATACAAGAACAGTGAGACACCAACAGACACTTGTAAGCTTGGTGCTTTTCAGACAAAATAAGTGTCAAGAGAGGCAGTTATGCTTCAGTATTTTGTTCAATTATTTTGTAGATTATAGTTAATTTTAGAGACATTTGATGTGTAAAAAAAAAAAAATTGTATATTTGTTATATTTATACTTGGAGCTAAAACTATCACTTAATACTAAGTTAATTATTGATTTGATAATGCAACATAATCATTATATCAAATTCAAGTACCATCAATAATTGTAGTACTGTATTAACTTGATGTGGCCTTTGGCTTGAGAAGCCTAAAAGATGTTTCTCGTAATTTGCGTATAATGTTATCCAAGTCAGTTTGGCACAACACCCTGGTAATTAAATTCCTTTATCTTAGCTTGTGACTTTAAATTATTTTATATTTTAAACAAAACATTTATAACTTTAAGCTTTCAGCAGCTTGTTATTCATTTGTGCAAAACTTAGTGTAGTTTGACGAAAGTGTTTAACAGTGGACACGAGTTTGTTTCAAACTTAGAAGTATATTTGTATGAGTGTGAGTGTAAAGTTGTTGTGTGTGCTAGCATGGTTGTGTGTGTGCTAGCATGGTTGTGTGTGCTAGCATGGTTTTGTGTTTTGATGATTGTATGTATGTGTGCAGCAGTGACAATCAAGCTGCATGAACTCAATATGTTAGTGTATTCCTTCTCTGAGAGCCTGTATTGTAAATATATCATTGAGTGTATCCATTTTCACTGTACAATCAGTTTGAATCCTTCATCTTCATTATTTTCATTGTATATCCAATTCATATCCTTCATCTTCTTGTGTTATTGGTTTTCATTGTACAGACAGTCCGTATTCTTTGGTCTTTTCAGGCACGGCATCTTCACTTACTGCTGCCCACACTTTTGGTGCAGTGATAATCACGTTTCATGTTTTGCATGTTTGTAGAAAAGTTTTATAGAAAAAATATAATAGTACTGTACTGTAAATAATACCATTAGAATAATTGTTAACATTGCTTCTAGAGCAAAATAAATCCCAGTAATGGAAAAAGCACAAACTGTGTGATAATAAACTTGCGTCTTAGCTTAGCGAAGTAATCACTTAGTGTAGTTGATAAGAAGATCCTGTCATTTATTTACTTAATGCCAAGCATTTTTCAGTAAGCTTTTATTACAGTACAATGTTGCCCTGAAATAATAAGAATGAATATTTTGGTGTTACAGTATCAATAACGTTGTAAACAAGTTTCTTTAAACTCTGCCTTAGCAGGTTTACATATATGCCTGAAGCTCAGCTCACATTACAAGGAAATTATGCTCTAACATTTATTACATTAATACTGACTTGTAATACTGTACTGCACTTTGAAATTAATATTTACAAGTTGAATTTGAACAACTAGCCTCTGTTGAAAGTTGTTTATGCACCAACATACAGTCTTTAACATGTTAGTACACAATATTCCAGTTATCTCAAGAGATAAATCTTATTTTCAAATTTTTGTTTATATTATAGGATGTTTCCCTAATTCCCTTGTCTATTATAACAGGGAGTAAAGATAGAAAACTTCAGCACAAGTTGGAATGATGGTATGGCCTTCTGCGCTCTCATCCACCACTACTACCCAGATGCCTTCGACTTTGATAAACTTGACCCTAAGAATCGTCGTTACAACTTTGATCTCGCTTTCCGAGTGGCAGAGTGAGTATTTCAGCAAAGTTTTTTTTTTTCAAAGCTTTTGTGAATACAGTACATGTAACATATATGCTTTTATGTTATTTGTATAGCTTAAATTGCTTTGAAGAGAAAAACCAAGATGGTAAGCAACTGTTTTTTACATTTCACCCAATAAGAAATCTATCAAGGCTGTACAATTTTTTTTTAAGTTCTTACAGGTAAAACACTACAACTTGTTTTACCTCATTTTAGCGTTTATACCCTTCTTTATTCTAGAGACCACGTACTATTTTTAATCACAAAGGAAAAGTGTCAGTGAACCTGGATATTGTGTGTGCAGCAAGATCTATAGGGAAAAGGAGAAAAAATTATTCTAAAGTGTTGCATTATGTAATTAATCTTACACTTCACACTTACACTCTCTCTTGGGGGATGCTCAGTTTATATCTCATTTTTCAGTGAGAAAGCTGGAATTATGCCTCTCCTGGATGTTGATGACATGGTTATGATGAAGAAGCCAGATTGGAAGTGCGTCTTTACTTATGTCCAAAGTCTCTACAAGCGCCTTAAGGATGAATAAGCACAACTTTAAGGAACAAAAAGGTCATGAAATGCTCCCCTTCCCTGTTTTATAATGAAAGTATTTCTATTACATTTGATTAAGAGTACCATGTACTTGTCCACTGTAGTACCTTTTGTGTGTCGTAGCTTCCATGACAAATACATCCAACCAGGTGACCGTGTCATCTGCACCCTGGAGTGTCTGCAGCTGTTGTGTATGTAGTTGTTCAATAGCATATTTGCACTTTCCCGTTTACTAGATCTGATAAAATACCACTTAGTTATATGTATTTACCGTATTTATTTATTTATTTCTTGTCCATATTCTTCTGGGACCAAATTCATAAATAGGATTTCAGTCAAGTGTGTTTCTACATGACTGATGAGTCTGGAATACAAAAATAGTCAACAAAAATACTGTATAAGAATGTAGAGTGAGGCAGTATTGGAAACAAATCCAGAGCGTTAGAAGCCATATCAATAATTTCATAGTGCTGATCATATGATACAAGTGCCATGGGAGATTCATTAATTTGAAAGACTTTCAGTAGCAAATCACATCCTATATGTCCATATATGATCTACCCTACTTGAATATCTTGAAATTGGTGAATATCTAAGAATCATGGTGCTTATTGATAATTCTATGTTTTATAATTTAGTTTCAGAATTTTGTACGTTATATATCAAGTCATTCATAAGAGTGTATATTACCGCATTTGTGAAAAGTACTGTAGTGACAAACTCCTCCAATGTTTATCTAACATTTGTGCTATAGTACGTTCTTATAATACAGAGCTCAATATATTTGTCTGCAAGGTATATCATTTAGATTTAGCATCATTGAAATAGATAACCATTACTAGGGTTAGGGGCGATGCTTTTTATATCAAGCTATAATATATTCTGCAAAAAATGTCCATTTCTGAAGGTCATGAAGTTGCTACCAAGATATAGAATAGAATTCTTAGTCTATACTCAATGTGTTTCAGATTTTAATGCTGATACTTATTTGTTTCCCTTAGATTTATTTAAATTTTGTTTAACAGAAATTTCTGAATTTCTGTCAGTATGAGGTTTTAAACCAAAATCATAATACTTTTCCATATCTCAGCCAAGAGTGGTTATTTCACATTCATGTTACCTTTCGCAGCTAAATTTAGCAATTTTGTGCTGTGATAACTATTGTGACATAATTTGGTGCCAATCAGTGTCTTATCTATAAGTATATATAAATATATTATATATTAAGATGAGTTAATGTCTATGATAGTGTATGGAAAGGAATGAGGGATTAGAAACGCTTCCTAATTGGAATTTACTCGATGCACAGTTACCATGTTGAAGTATACATGGTGTTTTATGTATAGAGTAAATAGAAATTGATGGCATCAGTTCCCTTAGTTTTAAATGAGATATTTTATATATGTAACTTGTTTCACAGTTATTTCTAACCCATTTCATATTGTAATGAACACACACTTCAAGATTCTGGCTTCAAAATACAGTACTATATCATAATCTTTAAGGTAAGAAGAATGTTCAGAAAATTTGTGATTCAAGACTTGTGTGCTTAAACTTATTACTGTACGCCACGCTTATGGAGCCTTACTCATGAGAACTTATGATAGAATAAATGTGAATAAAATAGTCTCTTTACTGACTCCTCCAAAATATTCAAGGAAAACCATTTTATAGTAATACTAGCTGTAAACGGCCATGTGTTGCTGTGGCTCAGCAATGCATGCTCGTTGCCGAGTCACAACAACCATCCCGTCCCCCCTTTCTCCCCACCATTCCTCTGTCCCCTCGTCCTCCCTACCATCCCCCCCCTCCCCACCATCCCCCACTCCCCCCCCCACCATTCCCCAGTCCGATATGTTCCCAAATGATCTGATGTTCCCATCAGAAAAATGGGAACATCAACTGATCTGGTGTTCTCACAGAAAAATAAGTAGAACAGTTAAAAACAAAATGAAAAACAAAATAAAAAATTAAAAAATTAACTATAATCATGAAATGAACGGTATGGTTAACAACACAGCTCAATTGCAATGCAATGTCACAATAATTAAATAAAAATCAAAATCTATGAAAACTCAATTTATCTATGCAATCGGAAACATTGAAATGGCATCATAATACAGTATATTTAGCACTAGCTGTACCCAGCCACACGTTGCTGTGGCTTGGCAATGCATGTGCATTGCTGAGCCACAGCAACCCTCCCCCGTCACCCTGTCCTCCCTACCATTCTCCCCTCCCCCGTTCCCTCGTCCTCCCAACCATTCCCCACTCCCCCTCATCCTCCCCACTCCCCCGTCCCCTCATCCTCCCCACTCACGTCCCCTCGTCCTCCCCCACCATTCCCCACTCCCCCGTCCCCTCATCCTCCCCACTCACGTCCCCTCGTCCTCCCCCACCATTCCCCACTCCCCCGTCCCCTCATCCTCCCCACCATTCCCCACTCCCCCGTCCCCTCATCCTCCCCACCATTCCCCACTCTCTCGTCCAATGCATTCCCAAATGATCTGATGTCCCCATCAGAAAAATAGGTACATCAAATGATCTGATGTTCCCATCACTGAAAAATAAGTAGAACAGTTAAAAAAAATAAAAACAATGACAAAAAAAAAATACTCATGAAATGAATAGTATGGTAAACAACACTGCTCAATTCCAATACAATGGCACAAAATAATTAAATAAAAATGAAAATAAATTGAAATCTATGAAAAATCAATTTATCAATGCAATTGGAAACATTGAAATGGAACTGTAACATATTTAGCGTGTGTTGTTATTACGTGTAACAGATGGTGGTAATTTTCAAAAAAAGCATGTGTTTTCCTGTCACAGGTGAGGCATGTATATAGTAGGTATATAAAAACGTGGGCCTATTCGAATGCAACGTTGTGTCAAAATTTCAAAGCAACTGGTAAAGAGGTTTCAGAGACTTCCCTCACTTGAAAAAATTAACAAAAAATAAATAAATAAAAAATGTCACAAATGTGACATCTATATAATATGTATATAAAAACATGCTTCTATGCGAATGTAATGTCAAAATTTCAAAGCAATTGGTGAAGAACTTTCAGAGATTAGCAATTTTGAACAAACAAACATTTACATTTTTATTTATATAGATTGAGAGAATTTGATAATTTAAAAAAAAAAAAATTGTGTGGGTGACGTACTATAAAAATTCTATTTAATGTCAAGGTTTATCATTTTATTAGATAACAAAAATATTTTATTTGTAAGATACTGAACACAATGGATCAGACTACTGTGTACAGTATTTTATAAAGCCACTAATGTACCTTCATCTTCATAACTTCAATCCAAGATTTTTTTTATAAAGCTGAATATTTTACATTTGGCTTTTAATATAATCTATACTTTTTGTGTGCGTGTAACTGCAAAATTTAATAATGTACAAAAAAAAATATATATATAAATAAAATAATGTCTATACAGACGAAACCAGATAAATACGTTAAAAGAAAATGAATGTCATTTATAATTTATCTTGGTATTCGCCGATATACAACACGTAAAGAGCAAATTGAATTCAAATCAACTTATTACATTCTGTAGCTAAATTGTAAAATGTATTTATATAAACAAAACCATTAAAAAGTTTAGATTTAAACCAAATTATTGTTTTAGTTTTTTAATCGTAAAGTGACAGGGATAGAAGGCATACATGGATAAGGGATAGGACGACAGGGTGCAGGTACGGTGCCCAACCACATTGACCACAGACCCTACAAGAATCAAGATCACTGCTTTACCGACGAGTCCAAGCAGAAAAGCTCTAATACCCAATAGCTAGATCAATGCTAATAAACATACAAAAAGTACCAATGGCGATTCAACCACTCACATTAATATGACATCATAAAAAGCCTAATTAGTTTTAGATTTCATTACTGTAGCAGTTGCTTAACTACTGTAAATTTGTACTTTGTATAACACTTCATAACTGACAAATGGATTTCCTAAAAAATTTAAGTACTGTACTGGATATTTTTGTAAATCATGAAGCTGAGTACAGAATGTTTCCAGTAGTAAAACATGATTTGCTTACCAGTGCAAAATAAAAAGCAAATAACTACTTAATTCTTCTTAATGAAAAAGCTACTAAAATAATGAAATAGCTACACAACACTTCAAGGCATTATAAATAAAATGCAAATATTTCTGGTACTGACAAAAATGTGTCTACGAGACATTAATGTACCTTTGTTTATACATAAGTACAGAAAAATGTGACCAACTTCATTAACCCATTGAGAAATGTGGGGAAATAACGTTGCTGATGGAAATTGTACAAAGTAATGATTCTAATTATAACCTAATATCTGTATAAGAGAGATTTATTATTAAAAAAAAAAAAAAAAAAAAAAAAAAAAAAAGGCCCATGATTGAAGGCAATTGTATACGTTAAGATTCGTGTTAGTGCATCCTAACCGTGTGGAGAGAAGGCGGGATGCCTTTTTCTTAATTTAATAGCATTAAACTCACTTAAAGACATGAACTTTCCCTGACGAGTTGCAACCTGCCAAGATTGGTTGTGTGGGATGAAGTGCAACGATGCTGGCAACTGATCCAAAGAATTCACCCATAAACTCATACTTCAGCTGACCATCGCAACCCCAGACTTCCACCTGCAAATAAAACAGATCTTGTTATCCCAGTACAGATAAAAAAAGAAAGTAAAATCAGCAGGTCTACACTCTTCTGCTCAATACAGTAACATGATATAAATCTATTAACCTACACACACATTTGTTAATTTTGACATTACTTTGCTTTAGAAAGCTTTTGCTATACTATACCTTTTTCCAACTTTCTATACAATACAATGGGACTCGGCTTGAGCAAACTATAAGGAAGGGGTTAGGGGCATATTCATTATACCTGTGATTTAGTTTGATCTGTTAAGTCCACGAGCACTTCCCAAGACTTACTTTTATTTTTAATTTCTTTGGGAAGGCATACAATCACTAACTTACATTTAATGTTTAGTTTGCCTTATTTTCAATTGTAATGAAAAAATACGGAAGTCTTTCAGCACAATCCACACATACCCTGAACTAGAAATCTGTGCTAAAATACAGTTATTTTAATAAAAAAAAATTCCTTGGGATTAGACCCATTTTATAGTACTAGTTATAATTCACACGTTAAAAATAAAGCTATAAAATACCATAGTGATACTGTGTTTGTAGTAATGGTTCATATCCAACACAAGTGGTGGTAAACCCTAACAGTCTTGAGGTTATCTTGAGATGATTTCGGGGCTTTGTAGTGTCCCCGCGGCCCGGTCCTCGACCAGGCCTCCACCCCCAGGAAGCAGCCCGTGACAGCTGACTTAACTCCCAGGTACCTATTTACTGCTAGGTAACAGGGGCATTCAGGGTGAAAGAAACTTTGCCCATTTGTTTCTGCCTCGTGCGGGAATCGAACCCGCGCCACAGAATTACGAGTCCTGCGCGCTATCCACCAGGCTACGGGGCCCCTCGTCTTACCCGTCGTGGCTGGAGAAGTGAGCCGACTACCACCAAGTCTTCACGGAAGGGAACATAACGAGCCTTAAAAGTTGTCAGCCATCTGCCAGTTTGGTTGTTGTGTCTGATTTTCTGCTCAACTGAAAAAGAGAAAATACATACAATCTGGTGACTACAAATTAACAAAACACATCTGATATGCTGCTAAAAATCAAACTTTATACAAAACAGCAACCTTGAAGCATTCAAGCACTGTACAGGTCTTGACTTGCTTTATCCCAACATAGAACATAGCAGGAATTTAACAAAACTAAGTTTTAAGCCAATAGGAATTTATAATTGATCAATTCCATTATGTTACCCATATAATATAAATTACATATTACAGTATTCTTGTAAAGTTGCAATTAAGACTAGAAATATGAGAATCTAAGCTTACTGTAATCTAATAATCATAAACACTTGGCACTGGATTAACAATCGCTACCAAGGACAAATTCTTACCCACTAAGTTAGTTAAATCACAGGATATGAATCTTAAGTTGTCATCCATACATGTAGAAATCAAGGAGTTCCCTGAAACAAGAATATTTGAGTTAGACATGTCTGCAATTTAGTATGCGAACACCTCAATAAACCATGCTACTTATCACAACTGCTCCCATTTATCTTGTTTTCTTAGGCTGGCACTTAAGCCCGAGGCCCAGCAGTTGAAACCAGTTACAATTAACCAGCAGTTCCCAGGTCTCCCCCCACACACCCTTTTCATATTCTCCCACAGACATTTTATCTGTCTCTCTTGACACCCTCCCCATCTTCCCCCATCATTACAACCATCTTCAATACACACTATCCTCACCACTGTAAACATGTTCACACCCTCTCTCTTTCATCACCCCCTCCCAACACCCTTCTCCCTCTCCACACACCCATCCCCATCTCCCTCCCCCACACACCCCTCCTATATACCCATTCCAACACCCCTTCTGTCTCACACCTTGTGGATACAGTGGTGGTGTAATTACACCTAGGTAATTACACCATCAATGTAACCACAAGGATGCACGCAGATTGCAAATCTGACATCTGAATACATATTTTAAATGCCAATATCTGAATTTGGGGCCTGACGGCTGAGTGGACAGTGCTTAGGGTTCGTAGTCCTAAGGGTCCGGGTTTGATCCCCGGGGGAGGCGAAAACAAATGGGCAGTTTCTTTCACCCTGATACCCTTATTCACCTAGCAGTAAATAGGTACCTGGGAGTTAGACTGCTGCTTAAGACTGCTTCCTGGGGATGTGTGTGAAAATTAGGATTAAAGACCTACCCGAAACACTATGCGTGCTAGTGACTGTACAAGAATGTAAGAACTCTTGTTTATATAAATAACAAAAATTTAACTAATGCTAGCCTATGGACTCTGGAATTTATATTTCACATCCACCAACTTTGTGAAGGGGGTCCTCGGGCTGAGACCAATTCGATGGTGGAACTGCCTGCCAACCAATAAAAGTGACAAACTTTACAACTAAGATGCTTTTTGCCGATTATGAACTAAACGCTGTTCTATATAAAGGCAAAGCTACATCTCCTGGGGAAGATGGAACTACTAATGGTATACTGCGTATGCCTCTGCTAGTGCCAGGAAAATCCCTTGCTTGAATTTTACAATGTGAGTTATGTAACTGCGGAGCTTCCAAAGTCATGGACTAGCAGCTTTATTACTCTTATTCCAAAGCCTAACCAGCAGTTTGCCTTTTTCCCAAGTTTCCTCACTAGCTGTCTTTGTGTTTTGAGATGGTTCTCAACCATCTCCTTTATAGAAGCTTGTTGTCTCCCCAGAGATATGGCTTCATGCATGGATAGAGTATCCATCACTATATTACCTTCTTCCTCGCCCTGCATACTGAAAGGTCGTATTCCACTTTCCTTGCTCTTACGTCAGCATTTGGCATTGCTAATCAATGTGTCATTTTGAATGAACTTGCTAAAAAGAACGTTGGGGGGATGTTGGCTATCTATACAACAAGAAGTCATCTGTACTATTTCAAGGGATGAAGAATATTTTGAGATTTAAAACTGGACACTCCACAGGGAGGTGTCCTCAGTCTTACTCTGTTCAATTTGAAAATCAATGCACTTCTAAACTCAGTGACTAGGAGGCCCAGCATTAGATATTCAGATGATATACCGATCCATATTAATGGCTACACCAACATCCAAAATCTCCTTGCTCAAGAAATGTTTAAGTACTTCATTCATGATGTACTACCAGAAATCATAGTCAAGTATACAAAGTCTGGTCACTATACGTAATGCTTGCACATGGCTAAAGTTGCTGTCCAGTTGGATGCGTCTGGAGCAGGATTAGTAATTGTAACTACTCATTGCAGATGTAAACTGCCTTGTAGAGACTGTTGTGAGCCACTTCTTGAACCACTTGTGATATAAAAAGCCTATTGTGTCTAATTACCTAAGTGTAGTTACAGGATGAGAGCTATGCTCATGGCATCCCGTCTTCCAAGTACTCTTTGCCGTATAACACTTTGAAACTACTGACGGTTTTGGTCTCAGCCAACTTCTCACTTACCTTGTTCCAACCATCTACCACTCTGTTAGGGAAAGAAAACTTTCTAATATTTTTTTGGCACTTTTGTTTCCTTAACTTTAATCTGTGACCTTTTATTCTTGAAGTTGCTGGTTTCAGGAATTCCTTTGTCAATTAAGTCAATACCTGTTATTATTTTGTAAATGGTTATCATATTGCCTTTTTTTCTTCTATCTTCTGTACTCGCCTAGTTGTACTTGTGGGAATTGAGCTTCAGCTCTTTGGTGTGTGTGTGTGAATTAAAAAATTGTGTAACTAGCTTCAAAACATTATTACTTACTTAGCCTCTTTAACCCTTTTCACCACATTCCATGGGATAAGTATAGGGTGTATAATACACTAAGCTGGTATAACTAAAACTAAATCACAATACATTTAGACCTTTGCTTTGGTCACAAATTACGTCAACCATCGATAAAGTCAGACCGACGTTAAAACGCCCAAAAATGCCCACTGGGATGGAGTCTTACCGTATGTGATCCCAAAATGCTAACCAATGATAGGTTTTTTGTTTTAATATTATTATTAATGCCAGTTTGAGACATCAAAAAAAAATTATGCGTAATAGTAAAAAGCGAAGTGTTCTGATCCCCACATGAAGCCAGAGAAATACTTTGCAAATACTGTAATGTACTGTAAACTAGTGAAAAATTGTTCTCTCTGTTCCTGCAAGGACAGTACAGTAATTTATTGGTGTAACAAAATCTTACTTTACAAAATAGGTTAAAGAAAAATCACTTTACAAAACAAATAACACACTCAAACAAACCGGTCAATGGAGAAAATTCTAAGCCAGTGATGTTTCTTCCGTGGCTGCACGATGTTACTGGTAAATTTTTTCGGTGATGCCGTACGTCCCATAAGCAAACATTTCTGAAAAAACATTATGCTTTGAGCATACAGTATATAAAAATAAATTTTCTGAACAGTACACTCAGTTACTACCTAAGGTCAGACTCTACCAACTTCTAGTTAGGATCTCATGTAGTCAGAGCAGGTCAACCTTCTGCACCGATACAGCAAGGAACTTTCCAACTGTTCCTGCTGGGACCATTGAAAAATTTTCCAACCTATACTTTTGAATAAAGTAAAACTATGAAATATCTAATTTCGTTTTCACAGTATTCCACCTTGTGCTACTGTTACCCACTCAACCAGTATATTACAATGCAGAAATGCAACTTTGTCTCTATAATTATATTTTCTCTCTTTTATACCGATGTTCGATATCACATGAATTTAAATTCTGTTACAATGTACTGTTACACTTGTTTGTTAGCTTAAGGATCTGCCTGAAATGCAATGGGTGCTAGTGCTTTACAAGAATGTACTAATCACCCACCACCATATGTACATCCTTAACAATTCATTGTTTCTTCTTGTATATGAATAAAATAAACTGGTACAAGGGGAAACAATGGAGAAAACATAAGAATAAAGAAAAGTGCAATAAGCCTATTTATCCACACAAAGCAGCTCCTATTTATACCAGCTAAACTCGCTGATATGCCTGCCTGACCTTCACTTGAAATCTGTTATATTGCTTGAAGCTTGTTTCATAAATCAATAAACCTATTTTGAAACCAGTATTTACCCAGGTCTTATCTTAATTCAAATTGATCCAAATTTATATTTGTTGTTTTATGCCATTTGGTCTTGATGTATTAAACAGGGCATTAATATCATCTGAATACTTTTTTTTTTTACATGTGTGTACAGGAATAGGTGACTGCTGACTTCTATTAGCATGCTGAGAGCTTTCCCGTCTCATAGCTCGTAAGCCTTACCAACTAGTTTCCCAGGAATACAACCTGCCAATCGTTTAACTATCAGGCACACAATCCCTGCTGGGTAAACAGAACACACAGTTATTGATTGGCAGCCAGTCAATCCTCCTCAGCCAGGATGTGAACCAAAGCCAAATTGCTCGCAAAGCCCAGGGCGAGTGTTACCACAGTGCTACCGACTGTCTCCCTCCCCTTACTCTTTGCCTTTCAACAGAATGTAAATTAAAGCTATTTTTTTTTTTTTTTGCAATAAGAGCCTGCAGCCTAGGCTTTTATCGCCTAGGGTTGGGTCAACTACATCTACCTGGATAAAACAATAAAAGGCCTTTTTTTTAGAGTCCCACACAGGAAACTATTCTGGAAGCTTGAATAGATAGGAAGGGTGACAGGCATCACACTCGTATAGATAAAAACAAATTGACGGAAAATATGGGCAGTAATTAGAGGCACTAGTTTAATACTAGTGCTAGTGATGATCATTGTTATATAAACAATATACCAGAGGGGGGATTCAGTTATGTGACTGTTTGCAGTGATACTAACCTAGTAGGGGAGAATAAAATATGACTGTCATGGCCTTCTGAATTACTTAGACAAAAATAACTGAATTAAGCAATGCATGGCAGATGGAATTCAAGGTGGACAAATGCAATGTAACGGAATGTGAGAGGGGGGCGGAAAAGTAAAACAGGACACACTTGACCTATAAAATATGGGAAAGTTGCTAAACAACTTGGATAAAGAAAGAGGGTTACCTTGCATTCATTCCAAGGGTGATTATGGATAGTCCCCTCTCACCAGACAAGCACACAACGGTACTGCAAGAAAAGCCTACACTACACTACCTCGACCGGGGGAGGCAGTCAGCCGAGCGGACAGCACGCTGGACTTGTGATCCTGTGGTTCCGGGTTCGATCCCAGGCGCCGGCGAGAAACAATGGACAGAGTTTCTTTCACCCTATGCCCCTGTTACCTAGCAGTAAAATAGGTACTGTACCTGGGTGTTAGTCAGCTGTCACGGGCTGCTTCCTGGGGGTGGAGGCCTGGTCGAGGACCGGGCCACGGGGACACTAAAAAACCCGAAATCATCTCAAGATAGACCTGGCCAGAAAGTGCAAAATGCTAACCAGCCATCAGATGGATCTTGCCACAAGTAACAACCAAGTGGGATAGCTCAAAAGTAAAATCTTTCAATTTATATACTGTACTTACAGTGTATAACTTGCTGACTGACAAACAAATTTATTTATAGACCTAGGAAAGAATGCTGTGCCACAATTCAACAAATTATAAATCTTAATTAACAAGATTTAACAGTTTCTCATGCCACTCCTGGGGACAGATTCACGAAGCAGTTACACAAGCTCTTATGAACCTGTACATTTTTTCTCAATCTTTGGCGGCTTTATTTACAATTATTAAACAGTTGATTGGGAAGTTTTCATGCTTGTAAACTGTTTAATAAATGTAACCAAAACCGTCAAAGATTGAGGGAAGATGTACATGTTTGTAAGTACTTGCATAACTACTGCGTGAATTTGGCCCCTGGAGTACACTAACCCGTCTCTAGAGGCAGTAGCAAAGTACTGGTTACAGGTTGGATGCACAGTTACTGCTTTGACGCTCTTTAACTTGTGCACCAAGTACTCTCTTGGTGACTTTGTCCTGGTTCGCAAATCAATCTGAAAAAAATATGGCAATGTTACATATTCATTGAATAATGAAAATGAATATTTTATATGAAGAAGTTTTTTTAATGTTATGTATGTTGAAGATTGAAGAGTTTTGAATAAGTCGTGAGGGTGAGTTTTTTCAACCTGTCCTCATAGTTGGAGCCTCTCAGTTCTGGTACTAATTCAGTTGCAAACCTTTGAATTTTCTTAGGTTTCTGCTTATGCCTCACAAGGTGTGGGTTCCATGCTAGTGCTGCATACTCGGGTAATGTTCTCGCAGAGACATTATGTATGGACTTTAAAGCCTCTCTGTATAAATTGTTAAATAATTTTTTATGCATGCATCCCATATGCAGCTAATGTCATCCTATTCACATGAACTTCTGGTGTTAATGTTGGGATTGTGTGTACTCCTAGGTCTCTATCTTATTGTTTCTTTTAATTGCCTTCCCATTAAGGTATAGTTAAATATAGGTCTCCTATACCATCTCCCTTACCAATTTTCATTATTTTGAACTTATTTGCATTGAATTTCAGCAGTCATTTATCTGCCAACTCCTTAAGTGAGTCAAGGTCTTCTTACAACCCCTTACAGTACTTCATAGTTCTTATTCTCCTCAAACTTTGCATCGTCTGCAAACATCGACATGTGTGAGCTCACTCCCACTGCAAGGTTATTTACAAAAATTAAAAAGAGCAATGGTCCTAGGACAGAGCCCTGCAGAACACCACTTTCCAATATTCTCGAGCCTGGCATATCCTCTCTTTCTGTGACACTTTGTTCCCTCTCTGTTAAGTACACTCATACCCAATCCAGTGCCTTTCCTGTTACCCATGCTTGTCTTGCCATCCTCTGGATTAGTTTTTGTGAGGAAATGTATCAAAAGTTTTTTGGCAGGCTAGGAAGATGCAGTTTACTCATCCTTTCCTTCTCTTGTCTTACTTTAGTGACCCTGTTGTAGAATTCAATCAGAATTCAATCAAGTTGTTAAGCATAATTTTTCCTCTCTGAAGCCATGTTATGTCAGTTGTAAAATTTACTCTAAATGTTCAACAATCCATTTTCTGATGGCTTTTCAACAACCTTTTACATAAATATCTTGCATGGAATGCATGTTTCCATCACTCTATAGTTTAGTGCTTGGTGTGAAGAAACACAACCTGCCATGTGTTTCTCTTGTGTTTGATATTACACCAGAATTTGTTGAATGAACACTTGACAATCACTCAAGTTTGGCCACTTACAAATTTCGGTAAATATATGCACCATGTGGCATGTGTTGCACCTACAGAATGCACCACATTTTATAAATATATATCTTTTCTTTTCATACCATGAATTTTTATGCAAAATATTTTTGTTTAGATTCACAGCCAATCTGATAACAAAACTCTGATAGTCAAGCACTGCACCTTTACTCAGCCTGCTTGATCATCTCTCTTCATAATGGTACATTTTAATTCTACAATTTGATGAAATTATTATAGTAATTAGCTACATAAACACTGCTCTATATACAAAGAGCATCACATCTCTTGTGCCAGTTGAGTATGATGAGCTCACCATAGCCCGTGCTGCATGGAACTTTTTGTTCCGAGTAGCTGAATCTAAAACAACATCAACATACAAAGAGCAGTGTTTCTCAACCTTTTTAATAATTCAGGGTCTTTAGATACTTTAGATAAGCACTGATTTAATTGTCAACTAAAAGAAGATCATTTCTGTCTTTGCTCTTGGTACTTGTTAAATGAGAAAAATTAAAGAAAAAATTACACCAAAAATACATTTGCCTATGATTAGAATTAGCTTATTTATCACTATCTCTTGCAGAACCCATAGTTACCTTGGAGTCCTGCGGAATCCCAATTGAGAAATGCGGCAAAAGAGGAACCAAAAGTACACACATTTGCAAAAAAATTCAACAGATAATGAACAATACAGTACTTACGTGCATTACTTGCCCATGACTGGCACCAACCAATATGTTGTTCTTGTCAACGTGTGCATGGCACGAGATGTATCTGCTATAACACTCTTCATCAACATAGCAATATACCTGTTGACATAATTAGGAATTAAACATTAAGAGGAATTAAGTACAAATTAGTACACCCAAAGAATATAATGCTATCAGCTCCATGATAACCTCTGTGAGCACACGGGAGAAAGATGATCTAACAATTGTTGATGTAATTAACGGAGGGTTCAGAGCAGGTCAGAATGTCCTTGCGTCTCCTACACACTTGTGTTTTCCACCCATGTCATCTTGTCCTATTACTCCTCAATAATAGGTCAAGGAAAAGGAAATAGGAAAAGGCTGTCCCAATTTACCTTGCCTAATCCCCTTTGGTACAGTATTCAAAATGTAGTGATAATGTATCCTCTAATCCTTATTTGTTTCCAAGAGATGTTAGGTTGAAGTTTGATAATCGGCTTGCAGAGTCAAATTTTTTTTTTCAGGCACTAACCTTGTTGCAAATCTCTAGGCTTTTGCAATTTTTGTTTGTGTTCATGACATGAGGATTCTGCTGGTATTGCGTATTCCCCATACTGGTCTAACATACACAGTGTATCATTTTGTACAGTTTCTAAGTTTTAAATGATGTTGTATTGTTCAGATTGAACCTATGCACTTTTTGGTTAACAAATATTGAAGAAATAAAAAGTAAATTAATGTTAGAATAAGGACTACTATCTTAACCTTGCAATATGTAATAACCCATATGAAGAGCTGGATCAAGGGTTTTGTAGGCCCTGGATACATTTCTATGATAGACCCCCAAGTTTCCTCGTGCTCCAGTGTGTCCCATATTTTACCCCTCGTGACCTTCAATCTCCCCATCACTATGCGTGCTGCTGCTTATGGATAATATCAACTAATGGGTTAGGTAACAACACAAGTGGAGATGACAAGATGCAAGTTTTTCCATAATTTTACATTAGTTTGCTTAATTGTGGGTTTTGCTCGTTAAATCTAAGAAATGTACTCATTACTAGTCTAAAGATAATTAAAAATTTGCATAATTAAATGCACATTTCAGCATTTTTGAGGTAAATCTCCTATTCACTACTTTTTAGTCTTGAAATAAGGCATATCTTTATAAAACTAAGATATTATGATAAACTGTTCAATCTGTTATGGTATTTATATCTGTAATATTTATAAGGGACATTAAAAAAAACTGTGGATAGCTAAATCAACTGCATGGTTGGTCATTTTCCCTGTTAAAACAAAAATTAATAGACCAAACCACAGTAAACACACAAATTATATCCGATATTTCATAGGCCCCTTAAACTACCGTAGGCTCTGGGCACTGTGCCCTCCTCCCCCATTGATAACCTGGCTATGACCGTATGTTTGGACATACCTGTTTAAGGATGGTGGTCGAGTTTAAATAAAGAATATGTTCCTGGCTTAATATTTCAAGACACTTCAATTTTGCTATTATATTGAGAATTAAAAAAAAAAAATGCAGCTTATATTATATAGTGTTGGAGGCTTGACGGCCGAGTGGTCAACGCTCAGGGTTCGTAGTTCCAAGGGTCCGGGTTCGATCCCTGGTGGAGGTGGAAACAAATGGGCAGTTTCCATCACCCTGATATGCCAGTTCACCTAGCAGTAAACAGGTACCTGGGAGTTAGACAACTGCTATGGGCTGCTTCCTGGAGTTGTGTGGGTGTGTGTAAATAAGGATCAAGGATTTGCCCAAAATGCTATGTGTACTAGTGGCTGTACAAGAATGTAATAACTCTTGTATATATAAATAAATAAAATTAAATAATATTTTGGTCACTACCATGTTACCAAAAAGGCACATGAGCATTACATTACACAGTGTATTAATAAGTAAATAAATTACAAAAATAATTAATCTTTACAGAGGCAAAGGCTTATATTTAAAACAATCACAGAAGTAGAGGATGTCCTATGAAATTCTATCTTTTGTGGTGTACAACCTAAAGGAAAATTCTAATCTTGGTCAATAGTCAAGTATCTGATAACCAAAATATACAAGAAGACAGGAGCCAGTACTGTATACCTGTTCTACCAATCCCGCTGTTAAGTTTGTTCTTCTGAGCGAGCCGTCATAACTTGTCGTGTATATACATTCGGGATTCCAAGCATCAACGGTAATGCAATTGATAGGCCGAGAGTGAGGAGTGAAGTAATATGCACCAGAGGTTTTATCCTTGCGTTCAACATCCCAGATTCCTTTTTAAAAAAAATTACATATTACTACTAAAAAGTCAAAGTGTGGCAAGACATCACCTCAAATGGGCCTTCATAAAAATTTAATAAACCATAAATTCAGTTAACCTAATCAAATAAATTGCCCAGACAAATGTCAAAAGTCCCAAAATGTTAGATCAAGAGACTAACCAAGACTTTTAAATTTTCTGATGTTAAGACACCTAATACTGTATATATTTCACTAGTGCCATATTACAAAATCGCTTTAAAAAAATTGCTAAAAATTAAAATTTTAACGTCGCTTTACAAAAGACCATGTATTTATCGAAAACATGTTTTTTATTAAACACAATTTGTGTGTAAAATTCACAATCTGTTAGTCAGCATAATGGATATGTTAATTATCTGTAAGGATTTTACTACTGGGAAAAACATAATAAAATTAGGAAGAAGTAAACTTCTTCGATACAGTATAAAGAGGTTTATACTGTATCGACAGGGGTCAGTCCCAATACCAAATGGATTACCGACCTTTGTGAATATCATTCAGTCATCTCTGAAATACAAATACATCAATAAATAAACGCTTTTATTTAACTTAAAGTTACTTGATCCTCTTAAAGACGATGACACAGTCGTAGACTTAGGGAGACCTGTTACTGGAGAGATGCTGAAGTGATAGTTTCGCTGGAGCCTATGGGTTAAGCTTGGGACATCATGCAGCATTCACGATGTCCCAAGTTTACGTGATGTGAAAGATTCATCACTTGATGTGGAAGTCAGGATGTAATCATAATTTATGGTTATCAAAGGTCCCTTAATCATTTCTGAGGATTTTTTCCAACTGAATTTTAAACTAAAGTACTGTAATGTCTTGGCATTTAGGTTTTCAGCAGGTAGGCAGTTCCATGGACTTGTTACCATATGGATAAAAAGAGCTACTATTTTCTGTTCTACATTGTGGCTCATTCAGCTTGAAGCTATTGTATGCATTACATTGAGTCTCTGACCTGTTAAAGAAGTTATTCAGATTAATATCTATGAATATGTATCTTTCAGAGATGCAGAGCCTCTCGACTCATATGCGCATGGCTGATTAGTTATCAATTGTTGAACACCAGTGTTGAAAAGTGATTTTATTATTTCCCAGGGCTGCTATAGTGTAAATGAGACGGCAATTTTTTTTATATATACACAAGAGTTCTTACATTCTTGTAAAGCACACACAGCATTTCAGGTTGGTCCTTAATCTTAATTTTCCCTTGAATACAGCCCACCAAATCATTTAACCACCAAGTACTCATTCACTGCTGGATGAACAGAGGCATAAAGTCAAGGATTGGCACCTAGTCAATCCTCCCCACCCAGGATACGAACTCAGGGCCATATCGCTCGCAAAGCACGGGACGGGTGCTTTACCACTGCGCCACAGGGACTGCATAACTATTAAGCATCAAGTTTGGTAATAATGAGGTGAAAGCATTAAGCCAGTATGACTATACAGAATACACAAGGAAATCACACTAATGTGATATATCAATGACTTGCCTGTATATTTGATGCTGGAACATGTTGGAGAATTCCATTACCTATACCAGAGTGTATGCGGGTTATATGTATAACCTGGACTGGCTTTAGTAGGTCGACATCCTGTGGATTCGATCAAATCCCAGATTGTATAACTTATGTTGTGGTGCACAGGTTAGGTGAGCAGCTTGGAAGTACCCAAGTCAAGGGTTCAAATCCTCCACATTGCTCCAATTGATTTCCTCACTATACAGAATGTTAAAGGTTGTTATACTGTTGAAATTGTCATCCCATCCATACATCCATCACTCCCTTTATTTAGTTAGTCATCGATTATTTTCCTTCTGTAAACCCACATTGCTTCATGTTTATTACATATACAGTATTCTGTACATGTTCTACTAATGACATATAATTGCCAAGCACATTATAGGGTATGCATGTCATGAAATACCATAATTTACTGTTAAGGTCTCCTAGCATCACTAGGAGACTGAGTTAGCATACCAGGCAATGATATTTAAGCTTGCATGACTGTATTACAATGCTAAAAACACAGTGTAATTCTGGAAATCTTACCCAATTCACCGCATTTACTACCAGCAAGTACAAGAGTCTTGTCTCGAGCTGGGTGGATCTGTGCAGAACAAACCCGATTGGGTACCACCTTGGCAACACGGTCCTCCGTGATGTTCATCTTTTTCATTGTCTGCAGCACACTGGGGAGAAAACAAAAAATTTATGATTTACTTGGTCAGATAATACAAAAGTATGTTAACGATATTGTAAAGTTAATATAAATCTTGCATCTAGGCATAACCAGTACATACCGAGAACCTGGCATGCTGTCTTAATGAAAGCCTGGCGTATTGCCCACTGAAAGTCATGTCTTCTACCTACCAAAGTGTGCATGACATACATCTATCGTAATACAGAGAAAAATTCAAGGAATACAATTTCATTACAATTAATACACAATTTCGTATAAAAAATCAAAAGCAAATTTCAGAGAATACAAAGAAAATTCTAGGGAATACAGATCTCCTCCAGGGAAATCTAAACATAATATAGCACCTCAAGGTTGGCCAGAGAATTGAGTAGTACATAAAATATTAACTTCAAAGTGATACTAAAGAAATAAAATGTAGAAAAATGAAAAACGAAGAACTTGGTTAAAGAGGTTAAATGACATGCTTGCGCTCTCAGCAAGCATGTCTGGCACACACAAAATTAGATCCTATACACTGTACAGTACATCGCTTGAAAACCATAAAAACTCATTTTTTTTTCATTTAAAGTATTACCTCATCTTGTAAATCTTTTAATATATCTGCAATATAATATATGTAAATCAGATGTGATCCGATATAGGACCAGGACGAGCCAAAACATTCTTTTTTCCATGTGTGGGTTACTTATTTAATCCATATTAATTTAAATGTACAACTAGATGTGCAAAATAACAGCAACTTAAGGGACATAAGAGACTGCCAAGCAAACTAGAAGTGACCAATTGTACATACTCCCGAGTGACTTTTTTTTTTTTTTTTTTACATACCAATTATTTTAATGTTAAATAACTAGTTATGCTCTTTCAATTTAACACTGCATGAGCAACTCTTGGCACAGAAAATTTAGAAATAGAAGTTTAGTGAATATTTTTTCAAGAATATTGTCGCCACTCTTATTAACATGTAATAATATTCTTACAACCGATAAAAATCTGGTAAAGCAACACACTAGTCGAGGGGGGACTAGCCACGTACAATGCTCCAAGGTTAAATTTTGAAGGAGTTACCCCATGGTCTGATGACTCCCACTGTATACTGCTTGCAGCACTCACACGCACCTTATCAATACAACCCTATATCAAAATTTAACGTCATGGCCCTTTTTATTGCAGAATACTGTACTTCAAGCTTTATGCAACGACAAAATTATACAACTGATGCTAGTCAGCCAATGTATTCAAGAGTCACAACAATTCCGTGAAACATTAACTATCTTCTCATGAACAAATTAGTAGTAGTGTAGTGTATCTTCTTATGTTTTAAGATACATACCTTGCAACACTGCCAGACCAAACGGATTCTCCCCCTCCATCTAATGACATTTTTTGCAAATCTTTCAAGAACACGTTCCACTCCTTTGTGTTTTGGGACGTGTAATAATCTATCAAGGGTGCAGGACCTGAAAAAATGTAACCAGTTAAAACCTTCACACAAACGTACCATAGTGTTGTCTAAACTCGCTAATTCAGATTATAAAGGGATGACACCAATTTGAATCGCATTTAGAAGTTCTAATTGGCAGAATTTCTTGTGACACTTGTCAAAAAATTAATAAATTCACTAATTTTTGTACAACAATCAGCTTTATTTATAATTCCACATTTAATAAACAAACTTATTGTTATAGCAAAATCTTCATAGAAATATATAAAATAGAATGACACTAAAAGAAATCCTAATTTACTTCGCTGGAGTTATCATCATCTTGATCATTGAAGGACTTAAATTCTGTACATGAACCTAACCTAACCCTAAAATTACTGTAAATGTCACTGTACTGCATGTATATCTCTCTTTTTCCTTATATTAAGGCACAGTACATGTGTCTACTCAATATTTTCTTGCAATAGTCACATCAGCAAAGCTATTTTCATAAGCTTCAACAATTACCGATCACTGTCAGTAATCATTGAAGGTACTGATCACCGGCTACCTTTCTTTGTCTTGTAAAAATATCCCTGGTATGGAAGTGCAATTATTTTATTTTCTGGTGGCAGTTTATCCAGAGAAGCAATCCTGATGGTTCTCCAAGGAGTTTATCCTGAGATAAATTTTTGAGGTACAGTAATACGTTTTACCTTGGATAAAATGCATCAGGACATACGTTTATCCTGAGGTAAGCCATTTGCCGACTTAAAAGGAGGATCTGGTTAGGGATAAATTTCAAGATAAGTGAAGAGTTGACGTACCAGGTGGGGGCCGAAAAGGACCTTCAATAACATCATCCTCCACTAGTTTATCTGGAAGTTGCAACCCATCTGGTGATTTGTTCTGCTGCCTTAAACTTTTGCGCGTCACCACTCTGAAAATTGAAGTTCAATTTAGCACATCAAACTAACTCCTTTAACTTGTATAAACTAACTCATATAATGAGTTAGCGCATTACTTTACTCATTACTTCACTTTTTTTACTCATTATATAAGAGTTAGCTCACTAACTCATTATATATCAAAACAAAGCATGAATAATTGTAGCACCTCACAATATTTAAAACTGAATTAACTGTTTAATATTATACAAATATAACTGACACATAGATTGAGCCATATTTAAGTATATGTATATACACATATACTGTCACCTGCTTCCCTGGAAATATAATCACTGCCCGAGGCCAGCCTTAAGTAGATAAGATTAGGGGAGAGGAAAGACACACTTCCCCTAACGTCTATGAATACAGACAAGGATTTTATTGTAGTTTATTGTCTTGACTCAGAAAATGCACATCGTGGCCACGCTTATATTTCTGAGGGTTAGCGAAGCAACATGGAGAAATAATTTGTAATATATGAAAGGAAATACAAGTCAGGAACTCTATAAAATGAATAAGCAAGACTTAACTGAACAGAATAACTTAAGTGTACAGAAGTGAACCTTAACTTGTAGAATACATATGATTATAAATGCATAAAGCACAAATAAACTAAATTATGCAGTAGGAACCAACATAGAGTAAAGTATGAGTGAATGATGTAAAGTGTTCCAGCAGGAGCCACCGCAACCGTAAGCAAGGCTGGTGTGGAGCCCTCCCCAATCCCTGTGAGGGCCAACCTGAAGTGGAGAAAAAATGAAGCAGCAGCAGCAGCAGGGACACAAAGGGGACAAAGGCCCTACAAGAGAGGAGGAGAGGGCAAGACACCGGGGAAATCAAGTGCATCACAGGCATGAGAGAGTGCAGCCATTGGCAAGGGCAGGAGGGCAGAAGTTCAAGTCAACAAAGAAAGGGTGAAACCAAGGGAGGAAAGAGGGCCAGCAGGGTGTCCTTGGAGACAAGGGCACTGTGTAAAGGGAAATGCCCCAGGGGAGCACACTGCAGCCAGTACACAGGGGCCAGTGAGGATGCACCCAGGTGCCGACACCTACTCTGGGGACGAAGGAGGAGGGAAGTGAAGTGGGGCCAAACCAAGGGAGAAACCAAGGCAAGAAAAGTGGGGGTGGGGTGCCAGAGGCACAAGTTAAACCAAGCAAAGAAAAAAAAAAAGGGGGTGGGGCACTGCCAAGGAGGAAAGGGCAGGGCATACACACACAAGAAAGGCGAGAGGGCATGAGGAACAGGCTGGCACAAGAACCTGGAGAGAGGGAAACCACAGTGAAAAAGGAAACACTCCAGGGCACAACAACCTGTACCTTGGAGGTGCCACAGCAGGAAAAGGGACAACAGCTGCATCCACAGCAGAGGATGAGGGAAGGTCTTTACCAGCAGGCCCCCATGCTGCCACCAACAAACGTGTCCTCAAATGTCTGTGGCTGGCGAGGGCAGTCCATGGATGTTAAAGAGGGAATTAGGCTGTTGAGTAAAACTAGTGACCCGGGACCACAACGGGACATGGTGTAAAGCAAATTGAGCCAAGCACATGCCTGAAGATATTGGCCGTGGGACGCTGGAGTGAGGGACGGGATGCCTATGGCCAGCTTTAAGTAGACGAGACCGGGGAAGGCGACACCCCTCCCTCACACGTCTAGGAAAACGGATGAAGATTTTATTGAATTTTTTGCCTCATCTCAGAAACTGTGGGTCATGGACATTCTTATATAATTAGCTCTCTCATCCTCTTCACAAACTACAGGAGAGGTACACTGGCAAAGATCATAGTACAGTATTTATACTGCATAAGCAAACAAGTTAAATATTATATTTTACAGATTTCTCTTACTTGTCCTGAAAATTAATTTTAATGAACCATCATTTAATCTTAATAGGTGTTAATATACCACACCAGAAATAAATATCTCCTTGATATCCCCAGTCAAACTAAATCTGTGCAAACACTCCATGCAAATAAAGACTCAGTCTATGGAACTCGCTCTCTAATGACTTGAAAAATTGTCCAACCTATGCCTTATTCAAAAGTAAAACCAAAAAGTACCTAATTTCACCCTCATAGTTTCCTACCTTGTGCTTCAAACTCACATTGTATCTTGTACTACCCACTTCCCCAAATTAGTACTCAAGACATACATCTTCACTAGTGTAATCACTTGTCAATTTATATTGTAGCTTTATGCCGATATAAATTTTGCTACAATGTACCTTTTCATCTTACCCGAGATGATATGCGTGTTAGTAACTTTGCAAGAATGTAACAATACCAATCTTATGTAATCTCACATACCCATTGCACCTACTTGTAAATAAATATAATTATTATTATTATTATTATGTTTTTGATATCTTGAGGTTATCTTGAGGTTATCTTGAGATGATTTTGGGGCTTTAGTGTCCCCGCGGCCCAGTCCTCGACCAGGCCTCCACCCCCAGGAAGCAGCCCGTGACAGCTGACTAACACCCAGGTACCTAATTTACTGCTAGGTAACAGGGGCATAGGGTGAAAGAAACTCTGCCCATTGTTTCTCGCCGGCGCCTGGGATCGAACCCGGGACCACAGGATCACAATTCCCGCATGCTGTCCGCTTGGCCGACCGGCTCCCTTATCAGTGAAAACAGTTTCCCACTACCTTCCAGAAAGCTATAAACATATTGGCACAATTTTCAATATCGTACTTGTGAGCAAATTTTCGTGTTTATAATAACTATAATAATAATTCATTGTGTCGGGGGACAGGAAGCCAGTGTATTCATACACGTTAGGCAAATATTGAGGGCTCCCCACCCCCATAAAGTCATTTTACTGACAACCCCACAACAAACTGACTAACTCCTGAGTACCTACTTACTGCTAGGTGAACAGGCCCACTAGGTGAAAGGAAATTTGCCCAACCATTTCTTTCCCGCCCTGGATTCAAATTTGGAATTCTTGATTGTGCGTCAAGAACGAACCCGACTGTACTGCCGGGATCCTTCACGAATATGGTATTCCCAAACAGAGGAATACCATATCTGTGGAAGGAAAGAACTTTGTATGCCTATCAAAGATGTGACCATGAAAAAAGTTGTGTTACCAAAAACAGCAAGTCCTAGTTAAACATTAAATTGGAATCAATGTCACACTATTGAAACTTTTACTATTTTCATTTGTGAATGTAACACGAAATAAAATGTAACCTTTTTTTTTTTGGTTGGCTTTATGCAATTACAAAATATATATATACCTGTATACACAATATTTGTAACCAGCAAGCCTAATGTACTGAAAAGGTTTATTATCAACACTTGGTAAATAGAAACACGCAATACTTATAATATTTCATTCAAAAGTATGAGTTAATTCTAATGTATTAACCCTATTAGTTACTTTGTACTGCAAGTAACAAAGAGGGAGGCATTTGTATATATTCTTAAATTACCTGCAGCCCTACATTTACAACTTTATATCCACTTCTTTATCAGCTAACTCAGGATCCTTAACATTTCCCACTCACATGACTGTGATAGCCTAGACAAGGATGGGAAGCAGTACAGTATATGAAACAGTTTATAATGCAGATTAAACTACATATGATTAAGGACCAGAGCGAATTTAGGGAGTCTTGACTCATTTATGTGATGACCAAAACTCTTGTCTCACCAAAGTTGCATAGAAACACTTAAATAATTGACAATATATATATATATATATATATATATATATATATATATATATATATATATATATATATATATATATATATATATATATATATATATATATATATATCCTCTAAAAATTACTTTACAGGATGGTATCAAGTAATTTTATAAGACAAGGTCAGGACAATGCAGGCCGGAGGACAGGCTGTAGATAATGTTTCGTGATGAAGATGGGGGAAAGAGAACAAAGTCTCAAGAGGTGTTGAAAATCCAATGACTTCTACATTGCATTTGCCATATATCTGACCAACACAGGTGCAGCAGCTCGATGCTTGATCAGAGGAAAGAAGTAAAGAAGGCCAAACCGATCTCAGTCTCGGCAAGAACTGTCCACCCCATACAGAGGAAACAACTAGAATTCCCCTCTAGAGGCAGTGAACCACCAAACAAGAACCTAGCTGGAGGGAGGGAAACCACAGCAAAAAAGGGATTTTCCCCTAAGAACAAGTTTCATTCTTTTAGTAGCTGAAAATTGACAAATCTACTCTAACAAAAATACTACTTACGGTTCACGAGATTCCTGTGCTTTAGCTATTCCTTTATATGACGGCTTCTTAGCTGGCTGGGATATCGCCTTATTTAATTCATCTTTCACCTCTTGAATTTTTAGGGACTCAAAAAACCTCTGCTTTTCAGCAATGTTTCGTTGAATCATGAGCTCGTACTCCGAGAGACTTGTGAGTTGTGGCAGATCCAGTAGTGCCTTCTAGATGCAATGGAACCTTATATTAACACACATTAGCATATACAAACCGATATCTACAATGACCAATAAGATAATGTAATCGAGCCTCTCAGCATTCTTATATTATGAGAATATTAACAAATACTGCAATGCTTGCACAGTTGCCTCTTCTATGCTCTGAAGAAAATATAATTTAATATTATACTTAATGAGAGGATTGTTTTGCCAACCATTTACAAAAGGCCAAGTATTATGGAAGAAACAAAATCCATAAAAAGTAGAAGTAAAAGGCAATGGGAAAATGCTTTCATTGAAGATTTAATTTAGTAATAAAAATAGTTAACATCATGTACTGCTGCAATGTTAGCAATGCCCCATTATTGTGGTCGATCTCCTCATCTTGTAATTATTTTACTTCCCTCATCTTGCACGAAACCCTGTGCGTATTAAGTGGCTTTAGGCATAGTATACACACTAGCTCTATCTAAAAATCTAACATTCTATTTGTACCTCATTTTGTACGTATATATATATATATATATACTTTTTACATGAAAACATACAATATACATATAATATAATTAATCACATAATAATTTACATTATATTATTATATTATTATTAATTATTATTAATTATTATTACTATTATTACACAGAAATCACATTAACGTGATATATCAACGAACAAATCTACCAAGAGCCTCGACGATGGTTCGAACCCATACGCTGGATGTTCCATAGGTTCATTATTATTATTGTTATGTCTCAATAGACTTTGATTCCAAGACAAGAAAATGATTCAAATTTAAAAAAAAACAAAGAAAAAGCCACTAATATATAGTATACAGCCTTCTTTTTAATCTGAAGTAAAAATTAGAACCTTTGACAATCCCTTGGCTTCTGACCCTGTCAGCGTCATTAGAGATGGTGGTCGCCATGTAAATTTAAGAAAATAAATATGTAGCACCTATGATGTTGCTGTACTGTTATCAACCTTAACTACAGCCCCAGTAATTAATCTTCCACTTGCCAGTACAGTAATATGTGGTAACCCAAAGTTTGAAGAACACTGTTGCATCTTACCTCTTTTGAGTCTTCCCTTTCTTCATTCTCATCATTCGTTTCTTCATAATCAACATTTGTTTCTTCATTCTCATCATTCGTTTCTTCATTCTCATCATTCGTTTCTTCATTCTCATCATTCATTAATTTTTCAATTTTGATTTTTGCTTCCATTGATGTTGACCTACTGCTAGTTTCTCTTTCTCCTCTCATCACACATCGTTCAATTTCTCCATTTTGGCCATTCCTCATTTTCTTCTTCAGTGGTTCATCCTCATCACCGGCAAGCATAGGATTCTGAAAAATTTCAAATTGAAAATCCAAATACTTTTAGACTTGAAGATCACAATATAGTGGATGTAAGGCATAATAATTCCAGTTGTCGGGGGACAGAAAGCCTGTCCTTAGGCTTGACCCCCCCTCCCCCCTACCTACCAGGCCAAAGTGCTGACCTTCACTAGGATGCAATCCACAATAGTTGCCTAACCACCAAATACCAATTTAATGTTAGGTGAACAGAGACATCAGGTGAATGGAAATGTGCCCAACCATTTCTGTACCACCTGGGGGGATCAAACATGCGATCCTCGATTGTAAAGCAAGAATATATACCACAGTACTACAGGGGCCCTGGTTGAAAGAAATGTCTTCTCTACTGAGGGGAGCCGTCTTCTCTATGTCTTCTCTAAATGTCTCCTCTAAATGAGGGGAGCCGGTCGGCCGAGCGGACAGCACGCTGGACTTGTGATCCTGTGGTCCCAGGTTCGATCCCGGGCGTCGGCGAGAAACAATGGGCAGAGTTTCTTTCACCCTATGTCCCTGTTACCTCGCAGTAAAATAGGTACCTGGGTGTTAGTCAGCTGTCACGGGCCGCTTCCTGGGGTGGAGGCCTGGTCGAGGACCGGGCCGCGGGAACACTAAAAGCCCCGAAATCATCTCAAGATAACCATCTCAAGAAGATACTGCACAAAGGTAAGGCCAGTAAAATTGAACGCAAATATTTTAAGACAATGATATTCAAAAGATTAGTTTTAAAATGGTCAATGCCCATAGCTTAAATAAAATACCCTGTATTAACTTATTTACCCTTAAATGGCACAGCTATTCAAAAGTAGTATACATCAAGGTGCTCATGTTTAAAAATAGTTAGCAAGTCAAATGCATGTGTGTGTTGTATCTAACCTTTTAATGATGTCTAGATTAATATTTTCTAACTAAATCAGTATTTTAAAGATCTCAATGAGCTCAGCCCTGTCATGTCTGGTTTGTGTTGTTAGTCCTGAGGTCCCCAATCATTACTGGAATGAGACACGACTTAGTTCTGGGATGATTTTTATCGCCCTTTGTTCAACTTTCTCCAAAGCAGACATCCTTCTGAAGGCGAGGTCTTAATGCTTGGATACCAGACGAGGACAAGAGACTTGTACAGTTGAATAACCCCTTTCTTTTCCTTGAAGCCAGAAGGTTCTTTTGATAGGTCTTAAGGTTTGGTTAACTTTTTTATTAACTGAAGATCCTTGTTGAACACTAGCAATCATCTGCCATATTGGAAAAAAAACCTGAGTGCCTTAATTTCCTTCTGTTACATTAGAAAATAGATGCCCGGTATGTCTGGTATATCACTTTCCAGTTGTATGCGTGTGTGTGTGTGTGTATAGCTTCATTTCACCAGCATCCACTGATGCTATGCAAACTGCAAAACTTCATAAGAACCATAAGATCTTATTGATGAAGAGAAATATATATATCAAGTAATAAATTTGAATACTATTCATTAATACTATTCATTATAAGATGTAAAAGACAATTAACAACAAAAGCACACAGATGGAACTTGTCTGCTTCTAGTCAGACAATAACTACAATATAGAGGGACACTTGCACAACACTTCTGTCACTTCAGTAGTTTCAAAGTGTCATACGACAAAAATTATAGAACAAGACACTACAAACACAGCTCTCATCCTATAACTACACTTAAGAAATTACACTTTGACAATTACACTATGTTAAAATGTATTTATTACTATGATATTATAATTACCTTTCTGCTTTGGAACTGTTTATCTGTAATATCCTCATAAACTTTGCAAACCTCCTGTCCCAGTGTGGTGCCTCTTGTGGGTACCATGTACTTCAAGATGTTCTCCTGAAAGTATTTTAGAACATTTAATGCCATAAGCTAGTTGGATATTAATTTCAAGAGGTACTTGCACTGTTGAAGCATCAGGCTGTGAGCAGTTGCATCAAACAGCTTGGTGGATCAGACCAACGGATCCGTCTAATTACCCATAGCTACCCAAAGCCACCCAAACCTTTCTGGCATTATGCTAGTAATGAATAAATATGATATATTTACTCATTATAATGTTGGTGCTGAACGTAGAACATGGAAAAACATATTTTTACTCTGAAAAAGTATCATTTCATAACGAAATTAGATGAAAGTACAGTAAGAGGCTGGTGATGCCAAAGCAAGTCGACGGTCCAAGCGACAATGTTGTGGAGCAACTTATCCAAGACACATTGTTGCCTAAAGAGATTTGCTGGCATATCAGCCTCCTGTACCTACCTAACCTAACCTAACTAAACCTAAGTTAATATAATCTATATGCAACAATATATCTTGGATAAGTCACTCCACAACATTGTCGCTTGGACCGTCGACTTGCTTTAGCATCACCAGCAGCTTATTTTCGTCTAATTTTGTTATGAAATGCTACTTTTTCAGAGTAAAAATATGTTTTTCCATGTTCTACATTCAGCACCAACATTATAATGAATAAATATATCATATTTATTCATTACTAATGTAATGCCAGGAAGCTTTGGGTGGCTCTGAGTGGCTTTGGGTAATTAGACGGACTGAGACCAACAACCAGGAAGCCTTCTCAAGAGACTAGGCTGCAGGGTCATTAACCCCTGGAATCTTCAACAGGTAGCTGAACAAAGACAGTTATTACAGCATGATTAAATGAAACAAGCAATTGCTTCCCTTTTGAAGACAAGAAATAGCTTTTCACAAAAAGTTTATCAAAGTTATGTTTTTATGCAACTTCCAAAGAATATTGTGGCCAAGAACCAGCGATTTTATATGACAGCATACCAGAAAAATATGCTCTCAGTTTGTGAAACACCTTCCTGTGCAAGCCATTTTGCCACTCAGAGGTAAATGATCCAATTATGTTACCATATAATCACTGGATAATCTCTAGATTTTGAATCGTCTATGCCACAGCAAATTGCAGCGGCAAAATGATTTGACACGGTGTATCAAATCATTACTAAATGGTAATTAGTGGAGTGATCACTGACTTGCATCATAATTTCATAATTCCAATGATAACTTACAGGTTGTGTTGAGTGGATTGTTTTGCTGTAAAGAAATATTTAATCAATAGCACTTTTTTAATTTATATTTAATACAAGATAATTATTACCTTTTTGTTTTGGAGCTGTTCATCTGTAATGTCCTCAAGAACTTTAGGACTTCTCTGTGTTGAAAGTTTGTCACTTATGGGCACCGTGTACTTCAAAATATTCTCCTGGAATGATTTTATTAAATGTAATTGCATACTTAGATATCAAATTCAAGAACTACTTATCCTTTAGAGCAAGTACAATGACCAAATAACATTGGCATTCTTCTACCTTTATGTGCAGGAATTTTGACATAATGCTAACACCAATACTGTAATTGTAGTTCCTGTATTTAGCAAATTAGTCCTAATAACATACCTAGAGGCTACAAATTGGTTATAATTGAACAGAAATTTGGTAAACATGCAAACAATAAACTGCAATAACACTGCAAGACCATTAACATGGTAATTAAATAAATGTTACTAGTACATCAGTATGGTATACCATTACCATTGTCAGAAACAGAAAGCCTCTTTGATATATCAAAGTCCTTCTAACCAAGGGTGAGGCTGAACACATGGTCACCTAACCAGCAACTGACCAGAACCAACAATGCTTAAACTTACTGAATGAGTGATGTCTAAAGCCAATACTGCATTATGGTTGTTCCAAATCAGTATTAAAAATTAAAAAGTGTAAATAAAAATACATAGGGATAGTCTGGCATAGTGAATAACGTGTGTTAAATGGTCTGTTAGTTTAAGCACTATCTGGTCTGGTGAGTAACTAATTGAATGACCAACTGGACAGTCTTGCTCTTGGATAAGGATACTTGACTTTCACTCAATCAGGCTTCCTGTCCATGAGAATATCCTCTACCATATGTAAAAAATATATAAACATGAAGATCACACACCTGCTTAACACATCTGCATTTTTTCCCAGCCCTTGACATTCTGGAGATCTGAAATTTTTAGTTTACATTTTTAGATACAGGTGGTACAGAAAATTCCATATACAAATGATAACCTGCTACCTACAATCCATAAATACTTGTTGATACCAATTGGTAAAGAACATTCAATTTTTTAGATGGCACAAATATCTATGAAAAAGTGAGAAGCAAAAAAAATAATTACATGCACACAATAAATGGCCAGAAGACTAGCAAATGCTTTTCAATATTGAAAATACTGTACAGACCTTACATGGAGGACAGCATAAAAATACATATCTATCATATCAACAAATGACCCTGCGGCAGAAGCCGAGGTAAACAAAAGCCAACCAAATTTTGGGAATAATCAAACGAACCTTTGACTTTAAGGAAAAGAAAGTGGTTAGTGAGCCGTGCAAATGTCTGGTGCACCCCCATCTGGACTACTGTATCAAAGCATGGAGAATATAGCATCAAAACTACAAATGTTGTGACTACAAAAATTCACCAGAGCAATAACTATCTCAGAACTATATCAACCTCATACAAGGAATGGTTGAAGGGCTCAGGACTAACAATACTATAAACTTGACACATTAAAGCTGGTCTTTTCAAGACCTTTAAAATACAGAGAAATTTGGAAGATACTAACTCAAACCACTTCTCTAAAGTCTAGTGTAACTCATACAAGGAGACAACAGCTTCAAGCTCAACAACCCACAATTTTTTTTTTTACTGATATATATATACACAAGAGTTCTTATATTCTTGTACAGCCACTAGCACCCATATTTCAGGAAAGTCTTTAATCCTAATTTTCACACACACACACACATCCCCAGGAAGCAGCCCGTAGAAGCTGTCTAACTCCCAAGTACCTATTTACTGCTAGGTGAACAGACGCATCAGGGTGAAAGAAACTCTGCCCATTTGTTTCCGTCTCCGCCGGGGATCAAATCTGAACCCTTAGAACTATTAACCCTGAGTGCTGTCCACTCAGCCATCAGGCCCCCCTAATAGTGTAAAAATAGTACACAATAAACTAAACTCGTACACAGTAGACACAAGATATTTTTTCACTAATAAACCCATGTAATCACTCGTGCAACATCCACACTAAACAGATAATCATGGGATAAGTCATTTGAAAAAAATGGGCTTTAATAAAAACAAATGTCAACCATCATCTAAAGTAACTAATATCTAGTACAGCGCTATATAGAATTGTATCTAAAATAGATTGTATCTGCCCGAAATGCTTTGCGTAATAGTGGCTTTAGGCATTGTATGTACTAGCTCTATCTATAAATTCATCAATATTTGTATCACACCTTGTATGTATGTTCTTTACCTGAGTAAACATTTGAATTTGAATAAAATGAATCCTCAGGTTAGGTAAAAACTTCACATGATGTCTCAACTATTACCCAGAAAAGAAAAATGGCTTAACTATAAAATACAAAGAGAATATATAACCCTACAAAACGCCACTTTCAGAGGCTCAACCGCTGAAGCAATGATCAATACTTACCACTGCAGCTCTGAAAGTGGTAAGCGAGCAACGTCGAATGGTGTCAAGCTGAGAATAGTGATGAGAAGAGTCGAGCAGCAACCTGTCTAGTGACGTAACTCTTGTTATTGTTGTCATGATTTTGGCGCGCAAAGGGAGTCTAGCGGTCAGTGTTGCCAGCTCAGAGTTGCTGAATGTAGCAAGGAGCTGAAGGGGTCCGTAGATTAATAATTTTATTTATTTACAAGAAGATACATTGGGCTGTGAGAATATATAACATTAGTGTTCTTACATTCTTGCAAAGCCACTAACACGCATAGCATTTCAAGCGAGATTTACCCAAAGCCACGTACCATTACTTAAGAAATGAATAAATGTAGCATATTTACCCCGTATAATATTGGTGCTGAATGTATAACGTAAAAAAACGTATTTTTACAAAGAAAAATCATTTTATAACGAAATTATACTAAGATAAAGATGACGCCATAGGTAGTCGACGATCTAAGTGCCTCTGTACATGATCGAATCTCGTATATATTTCTCGTAGGTCTCATAGATCGAATCTCTCCAGACCTAGACCAATGCCTCAGCTCGCCATAGTTGAGGCAGTTGTTAAGAAAGAAGGTAACTGCAGAACACCTTTTGGCCCATAAGAGGCAGCTCCTATTTATATCCACCCAATCTCATATATTAACATATATATGACTGTCAGACCACGAAGGAAGGATTGAAACAGGAAAGTACTTTCGTATTTAATAATATATCTTCAGAAGTATTATTAAATACTAATTCTAATAAAGTATTAGAGCAGGTGTAGGGACCCATAACCTCGGAGAAGAAAATAAAGAGTATTCAGAGAAGACCTTGTGGATTCTCACTAAATAATTTAATATTTTTTTCTACCACCCCCATTCTTTGGTATATATACATATATATTTGTTTTATTTAAACTTTGTTACAAAAAAAGAAGTTATATATAGAGTACAAAGATGGTTATCATAAGTTGTCTTGTTCCTCCAGCCCCTCAGATGGCGGGCAGGAGCCCTGAATGCAGTGTGCATTTCCCCTCTGTATCGCCACGCTGAGGCGCTGGAAAAGGAAGCTGGCAGCTCTAGGGTCTTTTGTTGTTTCAATTAGCCTAGAACCCAGTTCCTTCAAAAAAACTGATGGCACTCTTACCCTAGGAGCCGAGTGTCTCAGAAGCAATGGGGACAAAATTGTAGTAGTGATTATATATATTATATATATACATATATATATATATATATATACATTATATATATATATATATATATTATATATATATATATATATATATATATATATATATATATATATATATATATATATATTTTATATATATATATATTTTTTTTTTTTCTTCAAAAATTGTTACTGGTCTCTTGACAATATTTGGGTCTAAAATAATCTGTCTTATATGGTCTTTGAAATTACTGTATTAGGTCTAAAATAGTCTCTGTCACATTTGGGTCTAAAATGATGTCAAATTTCGGTCTTCAAATGGTCTCTGAATAATTTTCTGTCTTTTACAGGTGAAATAGCTGTAAATGGGTATAAAAACTAAAAGTTAAGGCTAAGATATCTATTTTCCATAACAAAACTTTTATGACTTCTGAAAATGGTCTTTTTTTTACAAAGTTCGGTCTTACACTCTTCAATAAACTTCAATGATTATATGAACTCTGAAATATTTTCATAAAACTGAACTCTGAAAAATTTTGAATTTTCCCCATAAGAACTCTTAACAAACTTCTAAGATCTCTGAAATTATTTTCCTCATAAGAATTCTTTAACTCTAAATCGGCCCCTTTCGCCTCGAATTTTCCCCATAAGAAACCTTTAACTCCAAATCGGGCCCTTTTTCAAAAAACAAAGAGAGGACGCTACAGTGTCTATTTTCCAGGGTCCCCCTCCAAAAAAGGGGACGCTATTTTGATTTTGAAGAAATAAAAAATTTCAAATCAAATTTGAAAGATTTTCTTCCAAATCTGAAGGAAGGGTGCGAACAGTACAGGGTAATGACAAACTGAAAATTTACAATTCATATTTTGCTTTATAATGGCTCTGTGGGCCCACTGCACTCACTGGGCTTAAGAGTCCCCACGGCCCAGTCCTACTTGTTGCTGGACTGGTCAACCAGGCTGTTGGACGCAACTGCTCACAGCCTGACGTATGAGTCAAGAGCCTGGTTGATCAGGTATCCTTTGGAGGTGTTTATCCAGTTCTCTCTTGAATATTATGAGGGGTCGGTCAGTTATGCCCCTTATGTGTAGTGGAAGTGTGTTGAACAGTCTCAGACTTCTGATGTTGAGTGTTCTCTCATAGTACCTATTGCACCTCTGCTTTTCAATGGGGGTATTCTGCACATGCTGCCTTGCCTTCTGGTCTCATGTGGTGTTATTTCTGTGTGCAAGTTTGGGACCAGCCCCTCTACTATTTTGCATGTGTAGATTTATTATGTCTCTCTCCCACCTGCACTTAAGAGAATACATATTTAGGTATTTTAGTTGGTCCCAATAGTTTAGATGTTTTACAGAGTGGATTCTAGCAATAAAGGATCTCTGCACGCTCTCCAAGTCAGCAATTTCTCCAGCTTTGAAAGGGGTTGTCATTGTGTAACAGTATTCCACTCTAGAGAGCACTAGCGTCTTGAGGAGTATCATCATTGCTATAGCATCTCTAGTTTGAAAAATTCTTGTTATCCAACCTGTCATTTTTCTTGCATTTGTGATGCACATTCATTAAAATCTACAAAAAGTCAGTATGTGCTAAAGAATCCATACAGAGGCATTTTAAGTTTATCACACAGACACTGTCACTTTCAGAAATATTGTGAAAAACTGAGTAGTTAAACTTATTTATATTGCCATTTAGTGGTACATTTTATGTATATATATATATTATATATATATATATATATATATATATATATATATATATATATATATATATATATATATATATATATATATATATATATATATATATATATATATATATATATATTTATATTCTGTAGTTAACTACAATGTGCAAATTTTAATTGATATTTTCATAATACATGTTTGTTTCAATCATTCTTAAGTTGTTGTACAGAACTGTACACCACTTGTGCAATAAAATTCAGTCTTATCAGTTTTTGTCTAAAACTACCTCAATAAAGAATTGCTGAAATATTCTAGGTTCAAATAAAAATCTCAACAATGTCTTTCATTTTACTTTTAATAAAATTTTCTATAAATACTCTGAATTTTTAATTTTTTACATTCAATCTGGTGATAACACTAAAAAATAAAGCCTGTAATTTTCCTACCTTCATATGCCAACACTCAACAAGGTTCTCTCCATACACTGCCTTATAATACCCTCACATCACGCATAAAATACCTATACAAAATTGTAATACAGTATCATGAACAATAAAGCTCATTTCAAGCTGTTAAATGAGCTTTCATAATCACATAATGGCAAACCTTTGTACAGTCTCTCAACACTCGCACATTAAAAAAAAAAAAACATTTTCTATAAATGTTCATACTTTATACACATTACACATTCTTACACAAAAAAAGGTCCATGTTTTTAATTATCTTGAAATAATATACATAATGTTTGCTTAATATTCAAAGACATTTAACCAGCAGAGGACAAAAATCCTCCATATTTTAATATAAATTCAACTATTGTGTCAACAGGTATCTAACCAGCAATTTAGAGAAGCCCTCGTCTTTCAATATAAACTTTTATCTAACATTATGGACAAGAGGCTACTTCAACTGCAATGCTAGTGAGACACCTATTCTTACTATGCATACAGGAAACGATATATGTGATTTGTACTTCATTACACACTTTGCTCTGTATTATCTGTGCATGTATCATGCAGGACGAAGTGCATATGCTGACAAAAAAAAAAAATTATTTTGACTGAAAAACAATTTCAGCATATTAGGGGAGCTTTCAAAGTGTTAAGAATAATATCATTCTGCTCAATTGCCATACTCATTTTGTCAACAAGCCCTTCAGTCTTAATGCTAAATACAATGTGTTTATCACAAGCAAAAACCACATCCCATCTTAGCAGGTTATTGTTGTCCAAGATCTATGAACTAAAAAGAGAAGAATTCCTTTGCTTCCTGTAGCACACAAAATAAATGGCATTACTTAAAATCACTGAACTGCCATATTATAAATACTGCACTTCATTGCAAGTGAAATATTATTATTCAACCAAAGAGATCAATGTAGCACTAATACCCATTCAACATTTACTGTACTGAAAACATAGAATATTCAGTTAACTAAAAACACTACTGTATTGATTTCAAAATATCAGATTAACAAATACTTTTCTAGTTAAAATGCAGCACTTTTACCCCCCCCTCAAAACACTTAAAATTGTAATAAGCTTTAAGTTAACCCTTTGACTGCTCAAGGCAATATTAGTTGAAACAAGGCAAACAAACTCCTAACAATATAAGTGATCTCCCTCCATGTGCTTAGAAAATGTTTCCAAATTAAATAATGTTCAACTAGATCACTGAATCCATTGGTTGGCGGCACAACTGAATGTCACTACACGAGGTGGGGCCAGAAATCTACACAATAATGCTTCCTTCATTTCTTCATGTTCACGACTATTTAATATTTGTTTCATATAATTAAGGTATGCTGTATTATTGTGAAAAAAAAAAAAAAAAAAAATATATATATATATATATATATATATATATATATATACCTAAGGCAGGTTAGGCTCTATAGCTATTGTTCCACTGTTTAGCACACCATTTTGAATATTCCAATGGTCCAAAATGTGTATATTTTGGGTACAACAATACATTTTTTGTATGTTGGATTATTAGTTGCTGTAAGTATTATCAGTTACGGAGGATGTACTTGGATGGGGTTCTGGGAGTTCCCCAAGCTCGGCCTGAGGCCAGGCTTGACTTGTGAGAGCTTGGTCCAACAAAGTATTGCTTGTAGCGGCTCACAGGCCCACATATCTATCACAGCCCAGTTGGTATGGCACTTCTTAAAGAAAACTATCCAATTTTCTCTTGAAGACGTCCATGTTTGTTCTGGCAATATTTATTATGCTCGCTGGGAGGATGTTGAACAACCGTGGACCTCTGATATTTATACATTGTTCTCCGTATAATGGCAATGGGTTGGAAAAAGCACACCCTTTTCGTATTAGAAATGTAATAAAAATTCAATAACTCAGGAAATATATCCTCCCCAAAAAGTTTACACTATTTTTGGTTGTATTTATAATATATCTAGTGGGTTTAGGTCACACACCCCCTAAATGCCTTCCTTTTAATGTCAGTGCAGCCAAAGGGTTAAGTTATGAACTTCACATTGGGTGAGACTGTTTACAGTCCCTCTACATCAGATTCTTCCAGGGTTAAAAAACCCTGGAAATAAAAGGCTGCCTGTAAATATAATCTTCCCAATGTGATGTCTAAGTATTACCAATAAGTACAATATTTCAGTGTAATGGATCTAACAAAACAATTTACGTCAATACTATCAGAAACTGAAAAAATATTTTGCATAATGAAAAATTGAAAATGAAGCTTTTGAAACCAGTTTCAAAGTATATATACTGTATGCAGACGATGAGACAATAACGTGGCTGAAGATATGATGACCAAACCACACGTCAGAAAGTGAGGAAACTAGGACTTTTGGTCCCTACTGGACCATTATCAAGTCGTGTACCAGAAGAGAGGAAGGTGCAGGCAAATATATAAGGTAAGAGCAAGATGAGAGGTGAGCAGCAGGTAAGAATAGGATCAATGTAAGAATAAGATGAAAGGTAAGAATGGGAAAGGGGGTAGGAATAAGCAACAGGACCAAAGCTCAAGTCAGGTCACGTTTGTTAAGAAGGTTAGAGCATTTAAGCATGTACTGTGAGAGGGAAAAGTCAACAGCAACAAAGCCAGGACTAAGGTTCGCGTTGGGTAGGTTGTGTATCAGAGCCGATTCAACAAGATGGCATCTGTGAAGAGAACCAGCGAAAGATTATTTTACAAGACGACCAATCTACAGGATGATTGATACCTGGTTGATGGGGTTCTGGGAGTTCTTCTACTCCCCAAGCCCGGCCCGAGGCCAGGCTTGACTTGTGAGAGCTTGGTCCACCAGGCTGTTGCTTGGAGCGGCCCGCAGGCCCACATACCCACCACAGCCCGGTTGGTCCGGCACTCCTTGGAGGAATAAATCTAGTTTCCTCTTGAAAATGTCCACGGTTGTTCCGGCAATGTTTCTTATGCTTTCTGGGAGGACGTTGAACAACCGCGGACCTCTGATGTTTATACAGTGTTCTCTGATTGTGCCTATGGCACCTCTGCTCTTCACAGCCTTCAGAGGTGCCATAGGCACCTCTGAAGTCCCCTAATATGACAGAAAAGAGCATTGTTTGTGCTCTCCTCTGCCGTATTAATCATCCTATAAATTGGTCGGTCGTCTTCTAAAATAATGTTTCCTGCCTCTGCCTCTATATTTGCCTGTACTTTCCTCTTCTGTTACACGACTGATAAGGGTCCAAGATGAACCGAAACGTCGTCATTTCTTCACCTTCTGACGTGTGTGGTTTGGTCCTCATATATATATATACTATATATCATTAGGATTACAATATATGCAATACTGTAATCTTACACAAAATTTATGTAATATTTTAACAAATTATCTTATGTTCCAACAATTCCAGTACCACCAACAGATCAATTTCAGGAGAAACAATTTGATAATATGCAAAATATAATTGAAGATAAACCTCATTCTGTTACTAGCTATAATGAAATTAAAATAAGTAAAATATCTAATGATTCAGAATTTAAAAAAAAAATTTGGTCATGCATATCTTGAACACCTCAATCTGCAGAATATGGTAAATGCAACAAACCCGCATCAAATATATTTTTGTCCATAAATTTGTCCACATTCCACAATCCTCTCATGGGTCAGTCTATATACTGGATTCTCTCACAGAAACAGGTACAGTGCTTAAATTTTCGTATCATAAAATTCTCCAGGCACAATATTACAATAGCCTCTTGGTCCTTTTAGGCACAATATACATTTCATTTTAAGAACCATAGGGGTGTGATTAAAGTGCAGCATTCTCGAACAACGTGCCCTTACTTATGAACATTTCAGTGAAGGGGCCTTCTTGCGAGAGTTCAACAGCTTGCAACTTCTTCAGCACCAACATCGTGTAAAATTTTTGAGCCACCTGTTGGATAATAATATTAATGGTAGTAACAATGAAGAATTTAAAGTCTTAACTATTATATTTTCATGAAATGTTTATCTGACACACTGCATAATATTTAACCATTAAACTAGTCCCATATAAAAGTAGCAGCATCAGCCAGATAGTTACCTGGTTACTGAAGGCTATATGGATTCTGTAAGCCCAATTAACTAATGGTTTTAATATAAAGCTTAGGATACTTGAGTACTTCCAGAAACATGGAAAAAGGCAAATACAGTTCCAATACACAAAAAAGACACACATTAACCATTTAACTATAGACCAGTGTCACTACAGAACGTATCCCGATCATAATTAGGGGACTCCCTTTACTGTACATGAATGTTTCTGTAGCATTTCACGGAAACATTATCCCAAAAAGAAACATTCATTCACAACTGTTTCTAGAGAGACTATTACAAAACTAAGTTTCACCATATACTTTACCTGTTTTCTATTGTTATGGTGTACCAAATCAGAGAAAAGAATGTTGTTATTTCTTAGCCTTCTCTTAATACTTAGGAACATCTGGCCAGCTCTCTTATTCACTACACGTTCTTCAAACTGTTCGTAAGTTTCATCATCTGCTTGCTCCTCCTAAAAAGAAAACATGTATGGGTGTCATAAAATGTCATTTATGTTACACCTTGTCATTATTTAGCAAAAATATTATTTTCCCCTCTATTATGCATATTCTGCTTAATATTTATTTTTATCACTTTCACATTCTGATGAAAGGTTCATAAGTTACAGCATCATGATCTATATTTCTGTAAATTACTGTTACCATTTACCCAGTTATTACTACTGTACTTGCAGCATTTATGTTTTTGTATATGTCTTACAAGTTAAAACTCAACATCTTGAAATGGCAAAAATGTTTAATATTTGGAGCAAACTGCCTAGATACAAGGATTCCTACAGGAAGGAAGAATCACATACGTGCACTGTACCAGATATGAGATAAGATGAGCTGTGAGAACAGATTAAGTGAAATATAACATTGGTAAAAGTGAGAACAAGAGGAGACAGGATTACAAAACGCTTAAAATACTGAGGGGTAATAAGTAATTGTCAAATGAAGGCACCAAGCCAAAAGACTATGTAGTTAGGGGGGGGGGGGGTAATCAAGTGAATATAGACAATCTTATTCTAAGCAAGAGACAACAGAATAAAGGGCACAAGAGAAAACAAATAAGACATTAAGAAAGCACTTGCATGCAATGAATGTGGTAAACACGTTTAAGAAGCTTGAAGCAGAGGGGATGGAAGCAGCCTCTATCCACATGTTCAAGAGCAAATATAATGGGCATTGCCGTGTTAGAAGACATAATGCAGCCAGTAAAATATCTAAGGTGGAGTTCTAAAGCTAAATTTTGTCATAGATACAACTAAATAAGCACAGTGCACCTAATGCATACGCAATACAGTACTGTACAGTGAATATATGCACAGTATACCTGATATATACTGCACAGTGTGACCTCACGTATGCACCGTACACCTAAATAATGCGGTCGAGGGCATTTTCTAATCTGAATGCTTTGTTAACCTCAATATAACTACAAGTCAGGCACATACCTCTTCCTCCTCCTCCTCCTGCCTCATTACTACAGTCGGAGTGTTCGGCCTTTCCGAATAATTGGATCGAGGTCCACCGTCAGACATGCCGCCTGGAGTGTTCGCTGGGGGATGTGACCCATCATACCCAGGGTTCTCCAAAGGAGGCTGATTCTGTTGGACAGTGTCAATTTTAAATAAATAGAAATGAAATATCAACAATAACAACTGTTAGTATAAACATAAATAAAACTGAGTAAAATAAGGTTAATTTTTAGTTAGTGGTTGAAACATTTATTTGTAAAATTAATAACTCACATAATATTGATGCATAAGGAAGATAAGGAAGCAGATTAATTTAAAATTAGAATAAAAATCCTTGTAAATGAAACCGCGACAGATGAATAGTCCTACCTCGATGTATCCATGATTCTCCATCTCCGCGTGCATGGGACTCTGGAATGGTGTGGTGTGCGCTGGCGTCTGGTTAAAGCATTTAACAAATTCAGTGCAAGATAAAAAAAAAATAAAAAAATACACAGCATTTAAGTCATTACCTTAATGAATTCCAGGCACTTCATCCTTTGCAGTGCTGATGGTAATGCGGATGTGCAGTAGACAAACTGAACAAGACTTAAAACACCAATATCTTCATTATCCATGTGAATAAACAAGGTCTAGATACCTTTAGGCTCATATAAAAAAGTAATCGGTCATGTATTTAGAAATAAAATCACACTGTAATTTAGTAGTAGACTGGCCTTTGGTGCCCCCAGCAAACAATATTCTCAAATAAGGTTGGTATTCCTTCCCAAATGGCTGCTTTTACCTTCAGCTTCCCTTATGCTGAGTGCTATTGTCCTGGGCACTATATTTCCATTTCAATTTATGTTTCAACACACACACTTCATTTTAACTGTTGTCGTTATTCGTACCAATATATTTTCATGTTTCTTCACATACCTTTTCTGCCCTTTATGTCTTAGCTGAGGGTGTTTAAGAATGACGTACTCTTTCTCTCCCGGTATTTTATTTCTTCAATTTCCTATCAACATAACTATTTCCATCTCTTTGTCTTTGATCTTTCTATCTCCACTTCCTCCTCCTTATAAAATGTAATCTTTTTCTTTTTAAGATACCTCCAGGTTGGATTAATAATTTTTCAGATACCACCAGGTTGGATTAATAATTTTTCAATGACTGCACAATATGATCAGCAATGAAGGGAATTACAAGGAAGGAGTGCCAAGCCATTGCACCAATATAGCACTGAGAAGGGATCAGAATAAGGGTTTGGCGATCTGCTAGGATGTTTGAAAATTTCATTGTGGTGTAATGCTACACATCACCCAGCCTGACTGCATTATCTATGTTCAAGGACACACTTGAATTACTTTTGTTCAGAGAACAGTCAAATTTGTGAGCTTAAAGAGAGCTACTGACGAAGTCCCATTTGCTTTCCCATCGTTTACTGACGAACAACTAAGGCCAACTTATCTACAGTCATTTAAAGGTAAATGTTTAAACCATGGATAATTGCAATAATAGTGTAACAAATCAAACCTGGTTATCAGTGTCCTGTATCCAAAGAACTGGACAGTGTAATAAACAAGTATAAAACAAATTACTTAGCTACAAAACTGCATGCCAAACCTTATAGCATATTGGGAATATTATTAAATGTTCACAGTGGTAAATTATAATGACCAGAGAAAGGATTAACTCATCAACTATGAATAATACTGTATACAACACTGAAAAACTGCATTCTTCAATTCCAATTATAATGCCACAACTGGGAAATGATGGTTGTAAAGCTGGCTGAGTGTCCTAGACTTACTTGGATAGCATCAGTAGTCTCCACCTGTGGTTGGGCTGGGCTTTGGAAGGGTGCATTTTGCACCGGTGTTTGGTTTCCAGCTGGTTCTTGATTCGTTGCAACTGGCTCATCGTGAACCACTGGAGTTTGTGGTGGGATAATCTCGGCTTGCTGAAGAAAATAAAAACACTCAAATTTACAAATGCTCTCTCAAAATAAAGCAGACCAAAAACAAGTAATGTGCCTTGTCAAACAAGGCACAAAGAAGCATTACATTTCTCTCCAATATTTTGGTGATGGCGAGGCAGTTAACAATGCATGAATATCATGCACAGCAACACCCAAATAAGCAGTAAACTCTTCATGAAACCCGTCCTCTTAAAAATAATGTCGCTTTTCGCTCATGTGTGCGCTATGGCCAAAAATGCACGTAATTTGAAATGAAATCGGCTCACGAAAGTGATGTACTCTCCCATTTTCTGTTTGAAAATTAACTTTCAATTAATGGTTTTCATGACGTTATGAAACATGAGGAGAATTTCCTGCCCTCCTAACCTACTAGAGGACCCCTCAACTTGCTGTTGTAGGAAAAAATCCAAAATTTATTTACAATTTTTTTCATTTTCAAATTACGTCCATTTTCGACCATACAGGCAAATGGCCAAATTCAGACATAATTTGTAAGAGGATAGGTTGCTTCATGCCTTTTTCCATGCTCTATAGGCAAAGTTTACAGAGTGAAGTCTGAAGTTGAACCTCTCACAATGGATATCAATCAGCAGGACATGACTACAGAGATCTTTGCCATTTTCCCGTGCCCAAGCCTCTACTGTATTTTTTAATAGTGCCACGATTCCCAATTAATAAAAAATCATCAAACGTTAGATAAAAGTCAGCCATAGAATTTTGCTTTAACTAGCTTGCTGGCTTTTCCATGACCCCAAACTGTATTAATACGGAATTTCAATGACTTTTATTAATTTCATAAAACAAGTATTTAAGAAAATATGGGCCCATATTTAGGTCTAAGCAAAACTCTTCACACTCAAAATTAATCTAGCCATAAAATCTTAATTCAAAGGAGACTCGTCTACTTTCCCCACACCCAAAGCTACACTTCAGTCACATTTTGCTATGAATATTGATAGGAACCCGATTAAATTAATATTTAAGGTAATTTGATCTCAACCACTTTCAGAGTATTTTTTGACCTCTTATAAATCCATATCACAGGAATAAATACTCAAACACTACATCACAAATCTGGGATCTCAGGTGATGGTCATTTAGACATGAAGCATTCATACAGTAATCTACGGTGGCCACCAGACAAACTATCTCACTCCCTCACAGTGATGTTTCCCTGCTGTTCCCTCTAACAGCATAATCACAACCCTTCAGACCAGTCACTAACAACTTTATCAGTAACTTAATTTAGACTTTATATAAAAAAAAAATGAGAAACTGGCATTTGTGGATACATTGTAGCCAAAAAGTGTGAATTCATTTGTATTTATTTACTTACACTATTTACGTGTTAAAAATAAAATAATACTCATAACAGTCCCAGAAGAGACATGTACGACAGAGAAGACAACACACCTCTTCAAGTGTAATAATCTCAGGCTGGGGTGGCGGCGGTGGTGGTGGTGGTTGTGGCTGAGGTGTTGGTTGAGGTTCCTCGACAACTGGAGGAGGTACTGGGGTCTCAGGGGCTTGTGGTGCTACTACTTCGGTGTTTACATCTCGACTTCTTGTTTGCACATTCAAGATCTGTAGCTGAAAGGTGGAAACACATTGAATATCAAATTTATTGCGAGATCAGGCAGGTTATGCTCAGAAACATGTACATATAGTACTGTACTTACCTTACATGTACACACAAATTAATGAAAGGCAAATGTGAAACACTCCATGGCCACATCACAACAATCTATTGGCATACAGTACTGTATTATGGAAACCCACACTACAACTACACATCCCTTGATGTGTAGTACCTGCAGAATGTGAGTAAGCACATAACGAGACCCCTATTATCTAGATTAACGGTATACGCAAAGGCAAACATTCAGATTCCACCCCCAATTACCAGAGCACGCCAAGGAACAAGTCCACAGATTAACTGAAAAATCGTATACTATATATACTGTACATAAAATAGATAAGAGTACCAAAGACCAGATTATCACCTTCCATTTTAAATGGGCACTTGCTCTTAAGACAAGACATTACAAATCAGAAACAAAACCAAGGCAACTGGAAACTTGGAGAAATAATTCATATTCACTATCGATTGTGAGAAAAATAATAAATGAGTGCACATCTCTTGTGACCATAAAACTCTTTAAGACTCCTAACTCAAAATTTTAACCAAGATAAACGTCTCAAGAAATATCTTACTTCCTCTTCCTCCTCTGGATCTGGTTCAGGCTGCTTTCTCTTGGTTTGTTTTCCTCTTGTCTTGGGTACCCCTGGTACCTCTGGATCTTCCGTTTCACGAACCTAGAGATTAAATATTTTGTAAATACAGTACTGAAGGATTCTTGTTTCAACTGGACTCCTGTGTAATAAAATACTGTACAGGCCAGTTACCTACAAGTAAACCTCTTCTCAATTTAGAGCAGGCAGTCTCAATGGTGGCGATAGTTGAGCACAGGGAGGTGATATACTGTATCAAGAGAGTAAACTCTCTTAGTTGCATTAAAAAAAATTAGGGTGGGGGGACAACTGCTTTACACAGTTTAGAAAATAACCAAAAAGGGCAATAGGTAAAAAGAAAAAAAATGGTTGAGAAACACCAATTTAGAGTCTATATTAGCATCCTGTCTATTATATCTGTTCCTCTAAGTCTATAAACTAGATTCTTTATCACGACATAATGGTTTTGCTAACTTTGGTCATCCATGGAAGAACTATACGCTGCACTAACAGTTCATTCCTTGTGCTACAGCACTTTAGTGGCATGTCATCTTCTGTCTCTCACACTGCTGTGTCACCCGATGATCCGCTGCGCACACAATTTTAATTGTTCTACCAATGACACTAATTAAGTGGTACATTTAAATAAAACAAAATCTGTATTTTACCAGTAACAAATAAAAATAATTTACCGATATGAGGAATTGAACTAAGTGTTTTAACAGGTGGCTACAATGTAATGGCATGCCAAAAATATGAGGAACTGAACTAAGCATTTTAACAAGTGGCTATAATGTAATGGCATGTCAAAAATATGTATGAATGATCAAAGTACATCAGCATACCAGGACCAGGGAACTTATAGTAAAGCTTTCATTAACTCACCACTTCCAAGCTGAGATTCTCCAATTCCCTGTCTCCTGCCATTCCAAAGTCTTCATTAGGAGCAGGTTCAGAAGTGAGATGTCTCTGGTACATGCGTGCCAATGACCGAGCATAAATGGGACGACCAGGCAGGGCAAACAGTTTTTCTACTCCACCCGTTTCCTTCCAGTGCATAAGACGTTTAGTTGGTGGAGCAAGATCTAACGTAGTTACAATGTCTGTGGTGTCTGAAAGTTGAGCCTTCATCTCCTCGCCGGATATATTCTTCACTTCGTCCACAATTAGCTTCCTCTTCCTTTTAGCACGTGGCCAGCCTGACTTTATTGCCGATGCATCTACTGGGGCCAGCGCAAAACTTTCTTCTTCATTCTGCAACAGCGTTGTCTGTTCATGACCGGCAAGCGTTTCCTCATTTGCGGCAGATGGTGCAGCCTCCTGATTTTCTTCTGGTGGAGCATCAGGCTGATCAACAGGGTCTTGAGCCTCTGGTTTAGGGGTGGATGGACGTGATCCATCTGCTGAGCTAGGTGGTCCCACAGATGGAGGCCCACCAAACCTATCCAAGTCCCCAACATCATCATCTGAATCATCATGTCTTTCCTCTTTTGGTTCATCCAGACTTGGTCCATCACCAATAGGAGTGTCATCAAACAGACCACCCTCGAACAGCCCACCAGCAATAATATCTTGCCCTAAATTACCACCAAACCCATCGTCTCTGATAGGTGCCTCTAGATCCAGTGCAGATGTATCGGCTCTTGCTGTTGATAATCTCGAGTCCTGTTCTTTGGATGCACTAGGTTCCTTCTCTTTGTCAAGAGGGGTATTATCCCCAAAGATAAGATTAGGGTGGTCAAGTGTTTGATCCATGGCAGAGGCAGCCCTCATTATATCTGGTGGCTCTTCAAAACCCATATCACCAAATCCATCATCCCCAGTTACCAGTGAAATATTACCATAGTCCTCCCTCATGGTAATCTCCTCTGCTCTGGACTGGTTCAAAGTAAACTGTGCTTGTATATCCACATCATTAAGTTCAGGCATAGCTGTATCGAAGTCATGAAATACTTCAGGTAGAGTGATAGCGCTGACAGCTGCTTCTCTGATATCTTCAGGGAGATCTACCATTCCAGGCCTGAATGCCATTTTGATCTTGACAAAGGCCTCATTACAGTCAGCTAACAAATATTTGGCTTTCCGTGAGTAAATACGCACCACACCCAGCAGCAGATGTCCAGATGTGCGCAATGCCATTTTCACCTGCATCATTGATCAAAGAAAAAGTCATTAAGTACAGAAATATTGTAATTAGATTACTCATTATGCAATAACTAGATTTTCACCTTACAAAAGCAAGTCTTTTATTTGATTATCTTATACAGTAAAGAATATTATTAAAGTTTAAAACAACAACCTACAATCCTTTTACATTTAAGCTATTGTAACATGGAATATTACTATTCGTCCTCCAAATAGTATAGTACTTAAGTCAACTATCAGTCGTATATACATAAATGAACTTGTATATTAATTAGTTAATGTTTTGCACTCTTGGAATACTCTGGACAACAAACCAAAAAGTGGAACATACACTACACAGCCTAACCTTACCTGCCATATGCCTAAATAAGCACTCCTGAGTCTAATGTATACTGTTTAGGCCAAATTTAATAATATATATATATACACAGTATGTATATATGAATATGTGCTATTCTAGGCTTCGGAAACTGTAGGTTTGGTTGTTGCCTACTTTTCCATGTCCTTAATAAAATTAATAGTATAAAAGGTTTTATTTTTTCTTGTGTGTGCACAACCGTTCATTTTTTGCACTTTGGGCCAACAGTTACTTTTAGTAGTATAAATTTTGGATAGGTTGGAGTAATATTGCAATTTTGCATGCAGCCTATAGACTGATAGCACTAACATCACAAAAGACTGCAGCATATACCAGCAATTAAAAAGATACAACAGCACTTCCAGAACTATGATAAACATTACCGACCCAGTGTTCTTGACAGCCATTCCTTGCAAGGTAGGCTACTGGAAAAAATAATCACATAAAATGGTGGAATACTTGGAAGAAATGGAATATATAACCAGGAAACGACACAGATTTGGGAAATGAAAACATGCCTAACAAACCAAATTGAATTCTACGACAAAACGGGCAAACACAGGGGAGGGTTAGGCTGAATGCAACTTCACTATCATTAACAAAAGACTAATGTATAAGATGAAGAGACACGTTAGCTTGCTTTAACAGAAAAGGTACTAGCCTGAGGGCATGAAACTACTTGATGGGAAGAAAAGGTAATTGTGACAGGCAGTCAGAATAAAGAGGATTGACAAGAAACATCCAACAGCATACAGTATTGGGTCTCCTATATTTATTCTCCACACAGTAGATAATAACCTAAGAAAATACATTCATCCAGACCAATATTTATAGATAATGCTAAACTGATGAGAATAAAACATATGCAGAACTGCAAAAGGTTGACCTAAATAGGCTGTGAAAGCACTCAGGAAAGTGGCCACTAGATTTCAATGCCAATGGAAAATTAGGCAAATGGCCAAAGGGATAATACAAAAATATGCATACTGTATACAGGGAGAACAAAAGACATTACCAAAAAAAACTAGGAAAGTAAAAACTTTCCTAGGCACTTGGGAAGGTATATTGTTGCAATCTTGAATCAAACCTGATGGGCAACCCCAAACTCCCTTTGCACTGAAAAGGTTAAGGTACTTACCCCCCTCTAGATCAAAACATTACTGACCTAAAATGTGTAGAACACATTATGTACCAAATTCCACAATAAAAAAAAAAAAAATCCAGATCTGCACCCCTGAACTCATTCTTTAAGAGAAAGGGGCAAGGTATGCATTACTGGACAAACTAAGGATAGAAACAGTATACAGTATTCAACAAGCTTCAAAAATAAAACAATTAAATACGTACTGCTCCTTCAAATACAAGGGAAATTACTAACATTATTTTTTCAAGAGGGAGTTTAAAAGTCCCAGAAAATTATATATGATCAGATAAGCCAGTCTATGTTAGATTAAGCAGCACGTACCAACAGCCTGCTTGGTCAGGCCTGGTCATCACAGGTTGGAAGGGTGCAGTATTTAATGAAACCATAGGAAGAGAAAGTTGATACCATAGTATAACACTGTACCTAACTTATCGTAGTTCACAGAAAAACTAACACATGCATCTCTCGTCTGAAAGCAAGCTAAAACACTTACTTTGGGCTGAAGAATACCATCCACAGATTTTTCAATGTTTGTCTCAAAGACATGGGCTTTAGTAAGCTTCTTATCCCAATGAGCAGCCAGCCAAATTCGGGCCAAAGGACCCTTTTTGGCCAACACAAAATGTGCATAAAACATCTTGCTTTATCTCTGAAATATAAAGATAAATAAATAATACAAATCTATGTATGTTACTACTGTACTATACTGTATTTAACGTCTAATTATACATGTACATTACACAATAAAAAATACACCCTTTACAATTTTTTTTTTATAATTCAGTGTAGTATTCACTTTTTATTTAAATACTTTAAGTTTGATTCATTAATTCTATTTACTCAACTGTATAATTGTCATTTCAAAATATATTTTTGCAATATATAGCAAAATATATAAAAAGTACCTACTACTACACAGTGCAATACTGTCATTTGCCCTACTTATGTGTACAGTACAACTATTATTATCTACACCAGTCCCATTGTCTAGCATGCATACATAAAGGCACGAGTGTCACAGGTACAGTATTAAGATTAAACAAAATTAATTTCACTGCTAAAATTAGTTTCACACTGATGTAGGACTTTCAAAGTTTGGAATTATTAATGGGCCTGAATCCAAATAGTACCCCACATGAGCCTATATCTCGGCCCATTCTCTTGATTTGCCACTACAAAATACAAAGTGCTTATCTAACTAAGCAGGTAAATCAGAAATGCACACACCCAGGTTCTACCTGGGCGCCTGACAGCTGAGTGAACAGCGCTTCAGATTCGTAGTCCTGAGGTTCCAGGTTCGATCCCCCGGTGGAGCCAGAGACAAAAGGGCAAAAGGTTTCTTTCACCCTGATGCTCCTGTTACCTAGCAGTAAATAGGTACCTGGGAGTTAGACAGCTGCTAATGGCTACTTCCTGGGAATGTGTAACAAAAAAGGAGACCTGATCGAGGACCAGGTATGGACTCTAAAGCCCCGAAATCATCTCAAGATAACCTCAAGATACCCCACAACCAATCGATGAACAGAAAACACAGATTTGCGAACTGCTTTTTTTATAGGACTTTATAATTCATACTTTGGGATCATAACGTACAAAATCAGACGTATTAGTTGAGAAGACGAGTGGTATATCTAGAATAACCACACTTCTTAGATTAGGCAAGAATTCATGACAATTCTAAAGATACTAGTGAAAAGGAGCTGTGCATTTTCCTATACAGTATAGCCTAATTTCTGAGCATGCAGTGAAAAGCCATCAGCCACTTCGCAGTGAACCAAACTATAGTAATAAAGATATTTTATTTTTTATTTTATTTATATATATACAAGAAGATACGTTAGGATTGTGAGGATACATAGTATAGTAATTACAATCTTGTAAAGGCACTAGTACGTGCAGCGTTTCGAGCAGGTCCTTAATCTAAGAATATACTGTATACCATATTATAAGGGACATGTTTGCATGCAATTCAAAATATATATAGACACAAACTCATCTAGAACGCCTACCTAGCCTATACAATTCCAGTACATGGATACAAGGCTTGAATGCAGCACAGCATCAGAGTCTTGTATCCATCCATCCCTGGATACATGGATGGGATGCTGAGCTGTTTGATTACACTAAAATGGTGGTCCAAAACACTTGCAACATCTTGTTGGCTAGTAATATGACATCACTGAGGGCGATTTCTGCCATTGGTCTTGTCCCCCACAAGTCAAGACAAGAATCCCGAGCGACTTCATGAACATCAATAACAAACCCCAAAATAAAGAAGTTATTGAAGACTTTAATGTATAAATTTCACACCAAAGCTACAGCTTCCTCCTTACCTTTCCTTGCTATCGATAAATCCCGTCAGTGGTCCAGTAAATCTTGGTTAAAACGAAAAAAAAAATCACTCGCCACGACTCCCAAAGGGGTCTAAGAGCTCGCAAAAATTGGATCACTTCTCACATATAGTTTACACTACACTATTCTCTTCTCCACTGCCACACACACTTCCTGCTTCCTCATCTCCTCCACTACACCAGCACCGTGGGGGGGGCAGAGGGTCCTTCCACTAGCTTAAATTGGGATTGTTTACATCTGGCCATCCAAGAGGAGCAGGTCACCCGTCCACAAAGATGGCGTCCTAGCCGAGTTTTGGCGCTGGGTTTGAACCTGCGGAGCGTCGCCGCCATCGACCCGCCAACACCGTCCGCGGCAACAAGGGAGCATCGCTGGCGGCGGCCGGGACGCGCCGGACGCCGCGCAAGCCCCTAGAACCGCCGCGACGACGAGGGTGTTAGATTCTTATTGTGGGTGGCGTCTATGACACTACACACGGGTCTCCGAGTTTATACATTTCCATAGCGGGGAATTTGTATTATTATTGGTAAAGTAAACAAATCAAGTTATTCATCATAACTTGTTTATAAAAGCTATTTTGTCTGTTTCACCTTATTGTATTTACCTAGTTGTGTTTGCTCTACTGTGCGTGTTCTGTGGTCTAACAAACATTGCATAATATCCTGTAACACACGTATCAATACAATGTAACCCACGCACGTTTGATTTCACTTAATGATTATATAATAATAATAATTATAATTCATTGTGTCGGGGGACAGGAAGCCAGAGTGTATTCATACACGTTAGGCTTCTATCGCGGTCGCCCCCCAACTCCAGGTCGAATTACTGACCCCGCCCAGGATGCCACCCCACAACACGCTATAACTCCTGAGTACTTATATTGCTTTAACAAGACATTAGTCAATTCAATTTCTTTCTTTATTATGCACCCTATCCCATCCCGTGGGCGGTGGTGTAAAGGATTACAGAGGCACATAATTGGTTCAGGAACTGAACCCTCTAGTTCGTTTAGCTAAGCAAATAAAAAATTTTTGACACTAGTTACAAAATTATTAATGTTATATATACATGTACACATTCTCATACATACATGTACATATATATATATATATATACGTATACATATATACATGCACATACATATTTAATCACCCACACAAATACACACATCAATAAGCTTTTGTGTCACAAGTGATCAACAAGAGGCTCACAACAGTCACTATACAAGGCACTTTACATCTATGGTGAGTCACACAGTTACTAGTCTTGCTGCACACCCACCCAACTGGGCGGCAGCTTTACAGTCATGTGCTCCACACCCACCCAACTGGGCGGCAGCTTTACAGTCATGTGCATGCATTACCTACAGTAAGCAAATTTTGGATACTTCGCTAAGATTTCGGGCAGCACATCATTATGAATGATGTACTTACACATTTCTTGGACACTATTGATGGTGTTATCTCTAAATTCCGCGATTTTTTCACATTCCATTATATAATGACGCAATGTATGCGAGTAGTTCTGCTGACAGAGTTTACATTTAGTCAAATCTACATCAGCAGATGTTACAAATTCTTAGAGGTACTTGTAGCCGAGCCTAAGCCTAGCAGTGGTAACATCTAGAAGTCTGCTAACATTATTGGATGACCCATAGACGTGCGGTTCTTCCTGCATAATAGAATGATGATAGATGGAGTAACTGGTGTGAATTTCACGTTGCCTCCAGTCTCCGAAATTTAGTTGATGTTCCTGGGATATTGCTGCCCTCAGGCTGCTCAAAGGCAGTCCAAGTTGGTAATCAATTCCCTCTTTACGAGCAAAAGTCTTGGCCAACTCATCAGTTCTATCATGCATTCGGAGACCAATATGGGAAGGAATCCACAGGAGACAAACTCTGACTCCATCATTGATTATTTCATTATAACTGTGTCTAGCTTCAGAGATAAGCACGTCACAGTTATGCCTTAGGGAGCTGAGGGCAGTCTAGGATGACAAGGAGTCACTTACAATTAGCGTGTCAACTTTGGATTCATATACGTGCTCGAGTGCAAGGATTATGGCAACCAATTCTGTTTGAAGAGTGGAGGCCCAGTTACTGAGACGCGCTCCACACTCATGGGAGAAGGAACCATCTCTCCCTGTCACAACAACTGCACTTCCAGCTGCGCCATAGGAAGGATGCAAGGATCCATCAGTGTAAATAATATTAGGTAAAAAGAAATGTGGCCAGCCATTTCTGTCCAGCCCGGCATTCAAACCCAGAAGTCTCGATTGTGCTGCCCGTCCTCCAAACAAAGACCCAAAAGTTGAAATTGAAATTGAAATAAGTTTATTGTGGTAAAATACACACAAAGGGATGAGGTAGCTCAAGCTATTCTCACCCCGTTCAGTACATCGTGTTAATACATACATAGACACACATCACAAACAATAAACATATTATCAAACATTCTGAGAGATAAACATATACATTTCCTACCCAAAAGTGATTCCATGCACCCGCCAAACCCCCTGTTTATGAATGAAAAACGGTTTACATACGACTCACAACTGTTGACGTTCGAACACTTCCGGAACAAGTGCTTCATTGACGAATTTTGTTCGAAGCACAATATCTTGAGATCTTGAGTTTATCTTGAGATGATTTCGGGACTTAGCGTCCCCGGGGCCCTGTCCTCGACCAGACCTCCTTTATGTTACACACCCTCAGGAAGCAGCCCGTAGGAGCTGTTTAACTCCCAGGTACCTATTTACTGCTAGGTAACAGGTGCATCAGAGTGAAGGAAACTCTGCCCATTTGTTTTTCCGCCGACTGCCGGGATCGAACCCGGGTCCCTAGGTGCTAGGTGAACAGAGGCATCAGGGTGAAAGAAACTGCTCACTTGTTTTCGCCTCCACTGGAGATCGAACCCGGAACTTCAGGACTACGAATCCGAAGCGTTGTCCACTTCAGTTCAAAATCCAGCTGGATAAAATGAAGACAAATGGGAGGATCGCTGACAAGCCCCCGGCTTTCTAATCCGCGTCGTAATCACTAGACGGATGGCGGCCCTTAGGTAAATTCCTGATAAAGGTCTCCATAATGTCAGAACTCTTCCAGCTCAAAAGCTAGAAATCACGAGTATAGAGAGCTTTGACATGTTCAGAACTGAGATTTATGTGTAGCATAAAACATCCGCTAGATAGCGTGACACTGTAATTGTCAAAATTAGGCTGGGATATCGATATCTCTGACAGGTGGCTGCTAGCCGAAGCCGTAAATACAAAAGTCGGTTACCTTTTAAGGTACAGCTGGAAAAGATCATCAAATGAGATCAGCAAATGAGGTGACCTTCGGCAATCCGCCGGCTTCCTGTCCTCGTGGAGGCCACTAGTGTTAGTGGTTCTCAGGTAAACTCAGGTAAGAAAATGAATCCCCCAATGGTGAACATTCCGAATGTTCATTCATTTCATCGGGGGGAATGTTACATTCCAATTGTAAACTATGTGAACAAGAGCTAGGACATACTTTCCAACACTATATCTGTGATTGCCCTGTTATCAATGATTACAGACCAAATGGTATGCGGTACTTTGATCTCTGTAACTACTTCATACACTCGAATATTGGAAGATATTCTTGTGCTGTAGTGTGGTAGTGCAGGCTAATAGATCAGCCTCGCATTTCGTGTTCTCGTCTGATTCCATGTATGACTATCCTGTGAGATGGGGATATTATTGATGAACCTGTAGCTAGCTTTTTATCTACACTTTGTAATATTTTTTTTCATAGAATAGGGTAGCAGCACATTGTTGTGTATACCTATGCTAAGATGTGTATACCTATGCTCGTTTTATTTGTATTTTAATGTTAACAATAAAATATATTTATCCCTGCTCTACAATTGAACTATTTAGCCAAGCCTATCGTGTTTAAAGCCTAGTTAGAAAAAAAAGTGTGTAGGCTTGTTAATTAATAAAAATATAAGCGGCTTCCACTTTTCCTCAACTTGGTCCAGTCTTCAAAACGCCGCACAACATTGACCTTCTGCGGCTCCTAAGTTATTTCAATTTGCATTTGTAAAAAAATAATGTTGTTATATATATTTAGAACTTAAATCTTTTATTACAAAGAATTTTTTATTAGCAAAATTAGGTATACACAGCAATGTGCTGCTACCCTATTCTGCATTAGATAATACACGGTGCAGATCAAGAACTAGCTATAGGTTCAACTATTATTACCATCTCACAGGATGGTTAGTCATACACGGAACCAGGGGAGATAATACCTACCTTAATACAAAAACAAATCAACTCTGACTACAGGAGAGAACATGAAATGTAAGGCTGATCTATTAGCCCCCACTAGCACACTCAGAGTACAACACAAGAATATCTTCCAATATTCCTGAGTATATGAAGTAATTACAGATCTCAAAGTACTTCATATCATTTGGTCTGAAGTCACTTATAACAGGACAATCACAGATATAATGTTGGATAGCACTTGTTCAATTGGAATGTTCACCATTAGGAGATTCATTACCTGCAGCCACCTGCCATAGATTTCGATATCACAAAGAAAGACGTGATAATTTAATATAAAAGAGATATTACAAAGAAAGACGTGATAATTTAATATAAAAGATTAATTTCCAATAAGGGAGCGCGTTGTCGGAACTCATCCAGCTGGGACTGAACTTTCTCGTACTTTGTTAAGTCTCCAAAACGGCGCACAATATTAATATTTTGCAGCTCTTCTGAACTATATAAACTTAATTGTAATACAAAATATTCAGTGCTTATATATTTACCCCAAAATGTTTGTTTACAAATAGAAAACAGAAACTGCACCTGAAATATAAAAATGTCCCTTGACTATAATATGAGGTATATGGGATATAATTCTTTATTGGTTGCGTGACCCAGTGACCCAAGCAAGACAAGAGCGGGGAGTCAGCGAGAGCAATTTAGGAAGACGAGCGCGGTAGTCAAGTGTCTCTCAAGCTTCAGTTGTCTCCCTCGCTTAACTATGGGTAACACAAATAGCGCAAAGGGATCCAAGAGGAAGTTAGACGAGTGCCAGGAACACAATGTTCCCAGGAAAAGGCTCAAGATTGGGGACAAGACAGTTGGATATGAGGTTAGCCACAATGGTGAAGTCCTCACTATATACCTTCGTCATCCTCCTATACCCACTAGACCCCCATTAATGAAGGGCTTGAAGAAGGCCGCCTTAGAGGGCCATAACTACCTCAAGGTCAAAGTCAATGGAAAATCCTGCACAATGTTTGTTGATTCCGGGACAACAACCAACTGTATAGAGAACCGTACAGCACGAGAACTTGGCTTGGATAAAATGCCATCGTCCAGTCAACGCTTCACAACAGAGTTCTATAACGAATAAAAAACAATGGATTTTAGAATAGTCAAAAATGTTAAGATTCACCCTAAAAATGGCAAAAAGGTGGTTGCCGACGTAGAAATCTTCCCCCCAAACATGGATAACTACTTTGAGCCCGACCCCACACCCGTATTTTTGTTTAGTTATCCACTAATGACAGAATACCACGTCATTCAGTAGTTCCATCACGGAAAGTCGACACTTTATTTTAAAAGGCTGAGAAAATTTAAATATAAAGGGTTTGGATTGGCCGAGTCCAAATAGCCATACTTAAGGATAGATCTATAAACCCCTAAAGAACATAACAGCAGTAATAAAATACTTATTGATACAGGCACTCCAGACACGATGGTCTCAGAGCTGTTTCTTAGGAGCATTAATCTACACCATTTTCCGCCCAAAACCCTTCGCATACACGTGGAATCCGATATATACCTGGAGGATAACCTACATGTGCATCCACATCCAAGAGAAGCGTTTCCATTCACCATAGGAACAGTTTTGATGGAGAAGTATCAGTGCATCCTGGACGCCTCCTCATTTTATTTGTATTTTAATGTTAACAATAAAACATATTTATCCCTGCTCTATTGATGAGCCATTTTGCCAAACCTGTCGTGTTTAAAGCCTAGTTAGAAAAAAAAGTGTGTAGGCTCCCAAACCCTTTCACGCCGAGAGGGTATATAATAATAATAAAATAATATAATAATTAAGAATAATACTAATAGTAAACAATATTAATGATAATAACTAATAACAATTAGTTAATAATAACTAATAACAATTGCTAAATCACAACATTATAAAAGGACAACATTTAACTTCCCTGGCAATCTACGCAATTTATACGCTGTGGACAAAGACAGACAATTTAGCACGGGTGGCACACGAACAAGGGGACACAGGTGGAAACTTAGTACCCGAATGATCCACATAGACATTAGAAAGAATTTTGTTCAGTGTCAGAGTAGTTAACAAATGGAATGCATTAGGCAGTGATGTGGTGGAGGCTGACTCCATACACAGTTTCAAATGTAGATATGATAGAGCCCAATAGGCTCAGGAACCTGTACACCAGTTGATTGACAGTTGAGAGGCGGAACCAAAAAGTTAAAGCTCAACCCCATAAGCACAACTAGGTGAGTACACATGCACTTCAAGCGCAAAGGATACGATTGGTATCAGATGTATACATTTACCAATGTCAATGCTCTATATAAAGACCATATTAATGAAGTAACACAGTACTATGTCGAATGGGTGATAAGAAGAACATACCTGCTTTGGAGAAAGTACAATATAGAGCGACATGGGATGATCAAATAGGGTGGCTATTTTCAAATCCCCAAAAATAATATACTCATAAAAGAAAAAGACCCACCCTAAATATACAGAATAACGACTTCGATGCCTTGCCTTCTCTCAGACCCAGATCTCATCATACAGCACCGGATGACATCTTTGCAGTTCTACCCGCCCACCACCTTACCCAGTGTTTGATTGACTATTATTCCCCCTATTTCTTCACCTTTGCATGATTAATTCACCCCCCCCCACACTTGGTGGAAGCCAAGACCGTCAGAAGTTTCAAAGCGTTATACGACAAAGAGTGCTGGGAAGACGGGACACCACGAGCGTAGCTCTCATCCTGTAACTACACTTAGGTAATTACAACTTCACCTCTTTCACATGTTTATTTAAGATAAATATAACCCTTGTATATTCATTCCTTACCTGAAGATGTTTCGTAATGGAACGAAACGTAATTGTAGAAAACATATCCTTTAATAATCATTAGTTTCTTTACCATGAATTTCGGTAACTTGATTGCTCTTCTTAATCCCGAAAGTAGGTGCGTAGTGTCCTAGGGGACTTCAATTGAAGTGAATCCTTAGGAGTCACTTAAATCCCAGGTTCATAGCTATAGACCGTGGTGATTAGTGGTCCAAGGCGTTTACTTGGGAGTACCCAGAACAGATTCGAATCCTCCTCGTGTCTCCTACTCATTTTCTCAAGTAACCTAATCCTGTTAAGATGGAGTTGAAAATAATTGTTGTCTAGGGCAATTGCCGACTAGACAAATATTCCAACGCTAATGCAATATCGTTAATTGATAATTAAGAACACTTATCACCGATGAGAATATGCATGCCTAGGACGTGGTTCTCTTGTCCAGGACTGAGGTGGTTGCTTTTTTGTCACTTTTTTTAAGACATAAGTGGTTGGTAGGGTTATCTGGGTTTAGTTTGTTAGATGACCAATCCACACCCGAGAAACTGGAAAAACTACGACGTTTCTGTCCGGCCTGGACCATTAGTCTTCAGCCACGTTATTGTGACTAATCGTTTGCTTATCCAGTTAGCAAAAGGCATGAGAACGTATTTTGTAAAAGCGTTATTATGGGTGTGTGCTGGTAATGGAATCGTTGTGAAGTGAACGAAAAATGCTTGGGTAAAAATATAGTATGTGGACACTGCCATAACACCCTGAAGGTGTACCACACACAGCAGCATTAGAAATACAATATTAAATTTAATGCAAGTGTACAGAAACATTGCACTAACTCTGAAGATTGTAGAACGACTAAGGTTTGTATCTAATATTACACCAGCTCTTGTCTTTTTGACAAGTGCTCTACTTACCCAACCACTTGGGCAGGACGGTAGTGTCTCACTTCATGCAGGTGGGTGTTCAATCCCCGACTGTCAAAGTGGTTGGGCACCCTTCCTCCTGTCCCATCCCTATTCCTTATCCCCTTCCAAGTGCTATATAATCGTAATAGCTTGGCGCTCTCTTTATAGATGAAAAGTATGTACATGCCAAACAGAGAGGACCCCTCTGTTGTCCTCAACACCACGAATTACGCAATGCTCGACCAGCCCCACAGGACGAGGAGGATGTCCCCTCCAACAAAGGGTAAGAAGATACATCCACGACAGAGCCTACCACAGGCCCGGATACTAACCAACCTATCAAGATGACGAATGGCACCCACCAGCCCCACTGTACACCCAAGTCCTACGACCTGAAACCCACCGATTAAAGATTAAAACAACTCCACTCAACCACTGATCATAAACCAAGCACAGCTCCCCAGGAAAAACTGCGAGTGGCTACTTAATCAACCACCACTGGCACTATTACTATTCGCCGACAGCTGATCAGTGGGAAAAAAAAAAAAAGAAAAAAAAGAGCTCCCTACTATCACTTCATCACAAAGCCCAAAGTGGTTGGGCCACTTACCTGTAACCCCCTCTTCCTCATACCCTAATCCTTTTCAAGTTTTCCTACATCCTCCCCCATTCTTCTTTTCCAGACTTGCCAATCCTACGGTCGTGGAACTACGAACACTATTGTTCACTTCTGTGGTCTTTCTGAAATGTGGGTGGTACTCTGAAGAATGAACTCTCTAAAATTCTCTAATTCTCACATTTTGTCATTCAAATATATTAGGATTCAAACAAACATGTGCGGTCATAATTACTAAGACATCTGGCATTCTTGTATCACTGGGTTTCAAGTACATTGTTAATAGGGTACAAAGAGTCCGGCATAGTTTGGCCTTATGATTTCGTGCTTCCTTGTCCAAGAAATATATTACAAAAGGAATAATCTCTGACAATTAAGTAGGTATAACCTTAAGATGGGTTGCTAGTTTGTACACATGCTAATACTGTGGATTACTCTCATCACAGGTTTCCTCCAGATCCCATGTGTTGAAAGAAAATTGAATCGAGATGGGGATACAAGATGAACTTAAAAGCTAGCACTTACATGTATTTTGTAATCCCTCACAATAGGGTAGCAGCACTTCTGTACATAAAACTTCCCATATTTTATATAAAGAGGAAGGGGGTGCCCGTTTTTCAGAGATGTTTATTTCGGCATGTAATGAGAGATTGGGTGTACATAACTCCGTTTTCTGAATCGTGGAAACTAAGGCACTATATAAAAAGGATGGAAAGACGTTTTGCAGGCTTCGCTTCATCACCCCTTTCACTTCAGACATCTAGGTTTTTGTCTTTCTCCACACCATGTAGGTTTTCAATTAACTTTGGCAAGATCAAAAGCCAAATCGAACAGACGTCTGCTATCCCACGTTTAGTCTATATACACAGTATATGGTTCTTTAATTATGGTAGCAGTTTCCTTCATTAGAATGTAATGTTTCCGTGTCCAGGTACTTCAAGACATTCAAACTTCAGAAAATGAATTTTCAACAATGCTTCCTAAACCTTTTGAAGGTGTCTGTACAAGAAACACTTCCTTACAAGCCACTAGTATATGACAATTTTGACAAGATATATGAATTTTCTGTATCACGTTAAGTGCATTTTTAAATATATTTAAAAAAATTGCCCTTGCTTGGAGACGTCCATACCCCCATGGGGCCATCTGAACCATTTCACTAAACAGCTACTGCACCAGATAACATTGTAGGCATCTACCCGCTTCAAGTTTCAATTGCACTTTAAACAAAACCCAGTTAGCTAATGTATTTGGCATTTTGCAGTTTTTCCATGATCAAATTGCTTATGATTTTGTTGCTAGCTGTCCATACACAGCAAGACAAAGTTAAGACATTGTTTTAATCATACTGGTACCCAATAGAACTGATTATTTCTAATTTGGCACATTATGCTTAGATTACAAATCCTTGGGTTAAGAAGGCCTAAAGTATATGGGTCATATATGGGTCATACTAGCATATATGCATACTAGTATATACTAGCATACTAGTATATGGGTCATACTAGCAGTAATCCAAGGTTATTTTCTTGACAAGGTATATTTTACATTACCATTGCTTACAACAGTAGAGAAAACTCATGTGGAATAGTTCTACTCGTGGGTGAAGAGCAAAAAAATTAAGAAAAGGAATAGATGCAACACACTGGTAGAAAAATTTATTGCATATTCAATTAAAATCTCTTGCATCTTACACTGGAATGCATACAATTCCACCAATTCATTTTGGTGGAAAGTTTACATATTTTAAATTAACATACAATTACATCATAATTCTAGTACTAACATGCACCTCAATCAGTAGCATCTTCTTTTGCAACAGACTCGAAGGGTTGTGATAAAGCCTCTCCACGGGAGTCTACGATCTTCACTTCTGCCACTGGACGGTCACGGCCATCTGTTGCAGAAGCCTCTATTTCACGAATAATAGGCTGCGGAAAAAGAGTAAAGAAGCATTTAAGGTCTACTAATGGTTATCATTAATTATGTACACATAATGTGCAAACTAATTATTTACAAAACTTAAATCTCTTGTATTGTGCAGTTTCATTCAAGGGCATCCTCTAAAATTCTAATCTTACTGTTCAGTATCCAGATTTTTTGTTGCAAATAAGTTTCTGGACATTTACATTGGAAGGGGGCCACTCCTCCCCCATTTTGCAAATTACCCGTAGAAAAGCAAGTAAAAATTTCTTAAGAGTGAAATACAAATTACATCACAAAACACGTGGAATCACGGTGTGTACATGAAACCTGGACAACATTTCAAAACAGGACACTTGCCACAACTACACACTTTGATGCCAGGTTAGACTAGCAAAATGCCAATTTGACATCTGTCAAAAGCTTGACAAATGTAACAATGGTGTTATTGCACAAAAGGCAAAGTAGGAAAATTTAACATTAAATTCTTAATGAGCAGAATCCAGAGTAATACAGTAGTTTACAAAACAACTGGATCCAGTGAAAATCTGTCTTGCTCCAGCCAGCTACTGTGATTACCCTGGTACTTTCTCGTCAGACAACACCGATTTACGAGCAAGCAAACAGGAAACGGCAAAACTTCCAAACAAATGTGAATCGGGTTGTTCCATGGGCTACAGAAAAATGTTATTGAAGAAAAGTGCCAGCTACAGTTTTATGGAAAAATATTGGGAAACTAGAAAATGCAGCCAAATTACACTCAAATATAAAAGATTTAAGACTAATAAGGTCTTACTTCACTTTTAAGAACACAGTAGCTGTCAATTGCAAGAAAGATGGTTGGATAACAAGAATCTTAAATAAGAGATACTAGACAAATAATACTTAAAGACACTAGTGCATTATACAACTAATGTTGCACACTAACAACCCCATTCGATGCCAATTAAAACTGCCGATCTGAAGATCCATAAGGTGTTACAGTACAGTACTACCCAAATCTAGCCTATAAACATTAAATTATTGGGACTTTTTTTAAAGTACAGGCAAAAAATTAAATTTCTAAATATTACTAATTACAAATCTGTACTCTGAAATAACTCATCAGGAGAGCAGAAGGTGCAACAAGCATCCCATGCAAAATATCAATATTACAGGTCCAAGACTTCAACTTCCTCTAAACATAAGGTTAGCTAGCCAATCTCTAGTGTTAACGAGAACATTATAAGCTTCTCCAAAGGATGCCCTATTAACTGGGTAGCGACTTTACATCAGACTGAGGAGCTGTGTTCAACAGCCTGGTTGATCAGACCAACCAGGAGGCTTTGCCAGAGACTTGAATCAACAGGAGGTAGCGAGGATTCCCGAATGGCCTACAGTAGTGCCACCTTTCTGGGAAGCCCCAGTGGCTTACCGAATCCTTACCAGGTTAGTCAGTAATGCCATAAAAACATGTTATTTAATATTTCACATACAAATAATCTGTTCACACAGGATATTGATTGCAACGGTCTAGCTCCTGAACATTACAAATTCACACCTATTAAGTGTGAATGTTCATGTCTGGCAAGGTCAGGTCAAGTGACTTTGCCTCTTGTTAGGCTGTTAATTGCAGAAGTTTTGCTTTCCATCAAACAAGCTGCTGTCTAGGTGTGGTTGGAAGAAAACCAGAGTATCTTCTGGTTCCCTCTTAAATACCTGACCAAGAGATAAGAGGAGCCTCGTCACACCAGAGGTGTTCAAGCAGTAGCAGACCAGTCTACATAGGCCTGTCCCAGGCTGGAGGGGGGGGGGGAGGGGGAGATGGCCTTGGCCATCAGCCATATCCCCCCCACCCTACCCTTGAACCATTTTACACATAAAACTTTGACAAGTTGAAGTGTATGGTGAAGGTGAAGTATGGCATTTTCCATATGTTGTGGATATAACAGGGGCATCTAGGAGGGAAGCAGTCAGCCATATTTGCTCTATTATTATGTTGTGACATTGCTTTACTTAGGATACAGTGAAAGCTTTAGTAGAGAGCACCAAGTTTACTTACAAGCATGACTATGATTCTTTACTTTCTGCTTTAAGCACTTGCAGGTGTTGAACATTACTTAATATTGCTGAACAGAATTACCATTCTGGTCTTATAAATATCTAATGGATAGATTGTGGCAGTTCATCCTCCCACCTTCCTACTTTTCTATCTACTCTGAAATCACCTGTCACTATTATCTCACTTCAGAATGCCTCCTTTCTTTAAATGTATAGTGTTCAGTGCATTACAAGTCAACCTGTGCACTGTTCATCGGCTCTAAATCTGGCAAGCAAGATTGCTGCATGTGGAAACCAGGCCACCTGGGGGTAGCCTTTGGTTCTACAAGTTTTGCACTAATCTTTAGTGTTTCTTACTTTGTGTGAATCTGGATTTTGAGGATTTGGTATTTAGTCAACCCTTCAGTTGTGTGTAAAGCTTCAACTTTCTGGATGCTTTCACCATTATGGTGGCAAATTGGGTCTGGCTCCCTGCACCTCTGATGGGGCCATGCTTTGGCTCTGGTCCTCAGCAGTAGGCCAAAACAAAACTTTTCTGGCAGTGCAGGAGTTGTTTGCATTGCTTCTTGCATCAAGCAAGTATGAAATTAGTATGAAATAAAGTATTCAAATAGACAACAGAGCTCCAAGAACCTACTTTACATTCAAGGCAGGTTTTTTTCCAAGCATGCTCTTTTAGTTTAATTTTATAACCATTATAAAAATATATTTGGTTGCTTTTGGAGAACAAATACTTTAAGTCTAATTTTATATTATAACATCTTTAAAAACCACTTACCATGCCAGAAAGCACCTTTCCAAATACTACATGCTTTCCATCAAGCCATGTGGTCTTGTTAGTCGTGATGAAAAATTGAGAACCATTTGTATCTTTACCAGCATTTGCCATTGAAAGCCAACCAGCACCAAAGTGCTTTAGCTTGAAGTTTTCATCAGCAAAGCGCTCACCATAGATACTACGTCCTATGGAAAAAATATATACATGATTAACCATTTCAGGTGTGAAATTACACAGCCGTACATAGTTTTTGAACATTTATACAAGTTACTTTAACCAATGTAAAAATTAGTAGACTTAATATTTACCACCTGTCATCAAATTTGTTAAGATACCATTTTGTTCATTTCCCAAACATTTTTATACTAAAATCAATGTTTAATCCTATAAAATAGGTTTACCAATTTCTCTTTATCTAGCATTTAAGGTTCCTAATGACCAAGTCATCATTTAGAGAAACTTTACCTGTGCCTTCAAACCCTACAAGATTTCACTAATTTATCAAGTTCTGAAAGACATTTATGTAACAAAGGTTGCCATTTTCTGGCAAGCCTGCCTTTAGTGCATGTTTAGGTGTACAAAAACCAAGATTTATTTGTGAAAGATTTCCCCATTTTCCTACATTGCTGGGCTTTATAAATTTTTATTATCTAACTTTTAGAATCTAGGAGATTTCATTGTGTTCTTGCAAGATTAGTATAGCAGACAGTGACTAATACTCATCCAGCAGAAGCAGATTTCTTCACTAAACCCACTGAATACAACTTTGAAATAAATCCTAATCATCTACACTGCATGTTCCCAGGGGATTTTACCAATTATAAATTAATAGACTGCATATGCATGTCTAGATAGGTCTATTTAGCACAAACTATAACATCAGTTCTTAAAACCAACTTAGAATAAAGAGCTCATATTTTCTAAAAGTAGTAGTGTTCATGGTGTATTAGAACCCTACTTAATCTTTGAAATGCAAGATACAGGAACCCTAATCATACCCCACAAGGACATTACTCTTCTAGAGTAGCATTTATAAATGGCCTGTGCTTATTGCACAAACTTTTCCAGCAATTTGCTTATTATACCACAGGGATTAGGTGCAATATTAACCAAGCAACATATGAACCATAATCTAGGTCCACAATGGCTTTAATAAGCTTGAAATTTCTTGGCATTTTGCTTATGAACACTAACACCGATTGTTTTGTAGGCCAGTTTCCTAGTAAATCTGGTACACACAAAGCATCCAAAAATTTACATGTACATGTGATGTCACCATCTAAAAAGTCTGGCTAATGACCAAGTCATTATAGTCATTATTATTATTATTATTATTATTATTATTATTATCATTATCGATTATCCTGGCATATTGTACAGCAAATTGGCAAACTCTTGCTACAGAAAAATATACTTGGGTTACCTACCTAACCTGATTCAATGGGGGTTAATTAAATATACGGACATTGGTATTGCACAACATCCTTCTTTACTTTATTAATTAAGCTCTGAAACCCATAAAATGTATTCTGACGAGCATGTTTCTAGAGTAACTGTCCAAGTGACATCTTTATACACAACCGATTTATTTCACTGGTTAGAATTAGTAATTTTCAAATGCTCTTTATACTTCAGAATGTTAAATGCAAGTATAAAAAAAAAAAAAAAAGCATACTACAGTACTTGCCTCCAGTACCATCACCACGGGTGAAGTCTCCACCTTGGATCATGAAGTCCTTGATAACCCGATGAAATACCGATCCCTTGTAGCCTTCACCTACTGGCTTTTGAGCCAATTCAAAGAAGTTTTGTGCAGTTCTTGGCACGGTGCTTCCAAAGAGGCCAATTACAACAGTACCCTTTGGCACTCCTCCAATGCTTATATCAAAAGACACCTACGGGGGAAAAAAAATAAAAAGGTTCGTCATTTCATAAATTATGCTACTGTACCAAGTTTCATAAATGATGTATTTGGACTGAAATTTATTTTCAATATTAAATGATCCTGCTAGAAGTATTAAAAACTTTCAAAACTTTTCAATTATGATTTAGAAAGAAAAAATGACTAAATATTGTCAGGTGTCAATCATAAAAACTGTACCTGTACAAAATTACTGCAGTTTTGCAAGTTAAATATTTCATTGTAACAAAAATATGCATTTCCGAGCCAATTCATGCATTCATGGCACAAATTTAGAACCACACTTTGAGGTAGGAGGGAGGGGAACCCGAGTGTGACTGGTACAAAACCACACTTTAGTACATTATAAACATGTGTTCTATCAGCTGTTAGATTCTTTCCACCGCCCATATGCATTTGACTACCAGATCCGCTTTTAGGACAAGTTGTATTCCAGCTATACAGTATATGTTACGTTTACATTTTGCTTAATAATGCAAGTCTTCCAATTATCAAGAATCATACTAACCAACTTGAACATTTAAAATGGCTCAATAATTATTTTTAGTTAGTTTGAGAAAGAAAGATGCCTGTAACAAAGTCCCCCAACCCCTCCCCCCAAATTCTAATGGGTGCCTAGTTGAACATTTCTACTATGGCAACTGGCAAGTCATTGCAGAGAAGAATGTGGCATCAGGAGACAGGCATTTGGCAGAGGCTCATCCTGGATAAAGGGGAGAAAAAAAAAAAAAAAAATTGATGTTGCATACAGCCATCAACTAATCCAGGAGTAACCCGAGGTCACGTGACCAGTGACTTTACGAGACCCTGCAAGTTAGGTTGCGTTACAGCCCAACCTCCATTAAACCTTTGTTCAGAGTGCAGTCCTCATCAACAAGAGTAAAGTTGAGCAGTGAATACCAAGTTACAATCCTGTTCCCTAGACTGTGGCCAGCAAGGCAGCAAAGTGCCTGTGTCACAGATTATCTAGCAACAGTGAGCAGCGTGGCACAATGGTAGAGAAGTACAGCGAGTCCGTGCGAGGGTTACTGCATATCCGAGAATGCAAGACGTGTCGGTGCCTGAAGGTAAAAAAAACAAGTTCAATCTGTGTGTAGAGTAGTCCATAGACTGCTGTGGGCCCAAATGGATGCCACTGCAATTGAAGATCAGCTTCACCAGTAGCCTCATGCCAAGGGGAGCTCTGTACTGGCTGCGCAACCCGTTCTTGCAAATTTAATAAGTCAATACTGACTTATTAAATATGTGCATAGGTAACATACTTAACATAATAGTTTCCCTTGAAAAGCTTCATAGAAAACACCGACCTTACCTAACCTACTTAGTATGTTAAGATAAGCATCTTATTGCTTCGTAATTACAATTATTACCTAACCTATACCTATAATAGGTTAAGTAACAATTGCAATTACAAAGCTATAAGATGCTTATTTTAACATACTAAGTAGGTTAGGTAAGGTCGGTGTTTTCTATGAAGCTTTTCAAGGGAAACTATTATGTTTAGTATGTCACCTATGCACGCAACTAATAAGTCAATATTGACTTATTAAATTTGCGAGAACGGGTTGGGCTGCAGCAAGTCCCCGCAACTATCTTGTCGCCTGGAGGAGTGGCATGTGGACGAGTGTGTAGGTACAAGGGTAAAAAAAAAAAAGGAAACCCTGGCCTTGGCTCGGGGAGTAGAACAACTCTCAGACCCCTCCCAGGTAAAGTCTTAAAGGAAGCTTCTGGATGTGACAAACAAGACACAGGCAGACTTCAAAAGTTTTACTCAAATACAGGAAGGTGGATGTCTAGATAAGTTAGACAAGACTTAAAAGATTTACTAACAGCTTATCAAATAGGAAATCCTTGCCAACAGTCCAACCTAATTGTACATATAGTTTTAGGATAAAAGTTGTCAAAGAGCACTTCACCATACCCAAGTCAAATAGGCAGGCATGAAAGTTGCTTAACTTTTTGTCTGCTTTATTGGAGGCAGTATCGGCAATTTCCTGCCCAGGAATCTATTCTGGTCTAATTGATAAATTATCTACTGAACAAAAATTTTAATAACTAAATGGGGGGGAATAGTCATTTTGGAGAATCTATTCTATTTAGACTTTGTTCGTTCAAAGCATACCTCGTTATGATAGGCAATATTAGGTTAAGATACATTGGCTCAGTTGGGTTGAGCTGTTAGGTTTAGTAGGCTTTAAAAAAAAAAAATCCGCTGGCGAATCTTCCTTCGTACGATGTGACTTATCCAACTAAACTACTGTATCCAATTTAAGTTAAGTTAATATATTATGCACCTGAGGCAAGCCACATCTTACACAAGATAGTCAACGGATTTTAAAACCAACCAAACCTTCCCAAACTTAAGCCAACGCACCCTAACTGAATGATATTCAGTACTGTATACCCATTCTCATTTTTTTTTATTTAGAACAAATTTTCTACGAATTCACTGTGCCGCTCCAAGTTATAGCAGCACCCCGCCAACCAAACCCACGAGAAGCTTAATTTTCATTAAATCAATCTCATAACGGATAAAACTTGATTCATATATATATATATCCCCAAGTTATATGTAACACCAAAAACTCTTCTTCTGTGAAGGACTTTAATCTTAAAAAGCAAGGTGCATCACACACGAACATTAAAATAGAAAAAAAATTATTAGCTCTGGAACAAATTCTAAAACAGCATTACCTTGTGTGTCACTTTGGGCCCCTTGCTTTCGGCCGCCTGGCCATCGGCTCGGTTGAACACCGAGAAGATGACCAAGAGAGCAACGACGGCCACCAACGCCTTCATGATGAGTTTGAGCTTGGTTCTGGCCGCCACCTTCCTCGTCAACACCAATACTATCTCCACCGCGGCCCTTCACCCGCGACCCCAGCGTCTCCCGCTACCTTCATCAGCCCCCTAGCGCTTGTCGCTACACTTCTTATATATATATACTCCTCTCTAAATTAATCTCTCTTTTTCTTAAAAGAGCCTCTCGGCGAGTAATTAATGTCAATAATTACTCTAATTCATAATCATTTTCTTATACGAACCCTTTTCTGTCATTAGCTCGAAAAGTTAGCTAAGGAAGCGCTGTTTATGCCGTGGCATTTGCAATAATTTTCTCGGAAATTAATCTCACGAATGACTTTATTACAAGCATTCAAGACAAGATATTTTAGTGTAAAATACACTCAATATTGAAAATACGATAGTTTACACTAGAAATGACTGTTATTATTGTTGACATACTAAGTATAACCATAAAATGAAGAGTTACCAAGGAGGGCCAGACACACATGGGACGCGCTGATTGGTCAACGGTGAGTGTTGCCATTCGAGCGAACATTGTTGTCTCGTGGACACCATGCACTTAGATTAATTATGTATTACTCTCCTATTTATATATACTGTATATATATGGATAATATTATATTACAGTACTAGCGTTTTTTTATGTAAAATTGAATTTTTTTTTTTAACCGCGAAAGGTGTGTGGACCACAAGAACGAATCTGACACGTCAGCAGTTGAGGACACAAACAATAATTTATATGTTTCAGAGGAAATGTATTTTGAAACTTGATTGCAGTGTTGATAAATAATTTATTTGCCACCGAATGACGAAATCAATGACGTTGAATAAATAAAATAAATATAACAAATAAATATATAATATAATAGTAGTTACTCAATTATAAACCTAAGTTAATTTATAATAATCATTTATGCGTCCCATATATTATATAAAGTGTTCCTTTCTTCATGATTTACACACGTTATATAATGTATAATGACCAGCCATTGCTCTTAGCTCTTGATGAGCTTAACAGATATAAATTCCTGACACAGGCAACAAATAATTAAACTAATAAAATAAATAAAATAATAATTAAGCTCCAATCGTTTAGGTAGAGGGAAGTTAATTATAACACTGATAAAAGTGGCTATAGAGTTTATTAACATATAAGCCTACACATCAACAGTCTACTTTAATCACCAATCAACTGGTTAATACAAGGATTTTTTTTGTATAGAGTTTGGTAAGTTTTTTTTAAACATGTATCTTCTGTGCAGAAACATGTTCTTTCAACACAGAACAGAAGAAACATGTTCACAACAAATTGCCTACGTCCTCTGCTTATAAGTGAAGGGACCAGTGTTCAACTCCCGGGTAGGACAGACAGCCCGTCCTCCAAACAGACCCAAAAGTGAGTCCATGCACCCGCCAAACCCCCTGTTTATGAATGAAAAGCGGTTTACACACGACTCACAACTGATGACGTTCGGACACTTCCGGAACAAGTGCTTCACTGACGAATTTTGTTCGAACCACAACGCTGTAACAGCCCGTCCTCCCAAAACCCAAAAGTAATTCTATGTACCCACCAAACCCTCTGTTTATGAATGAAAAACGGTTTACACACGACTCACAACTGATGACGTTCGAACACTTCCGGTACTGACGAATTCTGTTCGAACCACAACAATATAAATGCTTCATCCACGTACTAAAAATACAAATAATCCAACCCAAACACCTAACCTAACTTAACCTATGCCTATATATGCACAATATGCTAATATATTATAATATTAATATATATTTGAGAAAATTCCCGTTTTGAATGAGCAGCATGAAACATTTATGAATGCGTGTGTGGGGTCGACTGCTGGATGTAATGGACTTGTGGGTAGATTCACGAAGCAGTTACGGAAGTACTTATGAAATTATACATCTATCCTCAATCTTTGACATCTTTGGTTACATTTATTAAACAGTTTACACACATGAAAACTTCCCAATCAACTGTTGTAAACAGCCTCCTGGTGCTTCGGAGCTCATTACCTGTTTAATTATTGTAAACAAAGCAGCCAAAGATTGAGAAAAGATGTACAGGTTCGTAAGTGCTTGCGCAAGTGCTTCGTGAATCTGGCCCTTGGAGTCGAGGACGGGTTGAGGACAGAAATGGTTAGGCACGTTTACTTTTTACCTGATAATAAGCAACTGTTGTACGTTGCATCCTAGAGAAGGTCAGTTGTTGGCCTAATGGGACAACGGGAATTATACCGCCCACACACCCGTCCTGTCCATGAATGTCAACTAACAGCTTCCCAGCGGGTACCATATCCTAGTGGCGTGTGTTCAACGTTGAATCGACATTTTCGTTGAATCAATATTTTTGACTTTAATTCGGCGTTGTTCTTGGATATTGTGGCCATGGGAAACAGCTATTCTTACCGCTCTTGTTCTCTTAATATTACCTCAAGGGAAGAGTTGTGGCCAGGTTGTGGGGACGACCGCCGGAGTCCTGACGGTCTCCAGGTCAAGCCCAACAATATTTATTTTGGGGAGCCGGTCGGCCGAGCAGACAGCACACTGGACTTGTGATCCTGTGGTCCCGGGTTCGATCCCGGGCGCCGGCGAGAAATAATGGGCAGAGTTTCTTTCACCCTATGCCCCTGTTACCTAGCAGTAAAACACGTACGTGGGTGTTGAAATTGAAATTGAAATTGAAATAAGTTTATTGAGGTAAAATACACACAAAGGGATGAGGTAGCTCAAGCTATTCTCACCCCATTCAGTACAACGTGTTAATATATACATATACACACATCACAAATAAACACATTACCAAACATTTTGAGAGGTAAAAATATACATTTCCTCCTTCACAAGTAGTATGTTAACGTGGGTGTTAGTCAGCTGTCACGGGCTGCTTCCTGGGGGTAGAGGCCTGGTCGAGGACCGGGCCGCGGGGACACTAAAGCCCCGAAATCATCTCAAGATAACCTCGTCACTGCTGACTCAAATCTCTTTCCTTACTAGGTCCAAACTCGCAGCTGATTTCATTAGACAACTAATTCTGCACTATATAGATAGTGAATTTTGCTCAATCTACTGTATTTCATATTATTGCTGGTAGCCGATTCTATCCCATAGAATCGTCTAAGCCAAATTATGTATTTTTTTTTGTTTAAATGACTTCTTCTACACATTGCTTCAATTTATGAATATCTTTTTATATATTTTTACGTATGCCTAATTTTTATGTATATATATAAAAGCTAAAGTCAAACAGGCAAACATGGATGTCGCGCCTGGTGCTTTTGTTCGGCATCTGCACAGATCATTTAGTATTTGATGTAGGGATGTAGAGGGATGGGGATGCCCAAGGGATGGTGGGGGACTACCTAAGGAATGGGGAGGTCCCCAGAGAATAGGTAGGTGTCAAAGACACTAGCTTTCTTTCCTGGAGGCTAACCATAGCAACAAAAATCTGTTAATACCCAAGCTTTTTTTTACTGCTGCTCAATCATTGTAATTTACATTTCACAGCGTTGGCTTTCAGCAATCATTTATCAGATCATTTGTTAAGTCTGTAGATCCTCTTGTATTGTATCTCAGCCTTCCTAGGTATATATATCCCAGCTCTTGGCATGTACACCACCCACAGATGAGTAATGTACAGATGAGTAATGTATTACATAATAAAGTACAAATAATACCTACATGTTAACTAGATATGAGAGAAAAGCGAGGTAGCCTAGTGATGACCTATAAGACACGTCATCACTAAATTACCAACACCAACCGGTTCTACCAGGTGTGAAGTCACAGTTGGCATGACCCTGATATATACCGGAATGACACCTTCAATCCCCTTACTAACTTCTTATCTAAACATACTTAAAGTAGTATATATATCAGGTTATAAATGTTAACTTAGATATTTGGGAGGGAAGGTTAGTCAGGCTGGCAATAGTCGCTTGTTGCAATAATAAAGCCAGGTTAAGGATCTTATTTTCCTCTTGTATACTGTACTTGGGCGCGAGGCGCCACGTTACAGCGAGGTTTTCCTGGGGCGGCTGCCACACTGCAGCGCCCGGAGTTAGACCGGCTTCCACTGTCAGGAATAAATTCCCATATGTAAGAAAATCTGTGGATTTATTTCGTTATTGTGTATAAATCGTTTAAACTAAAGAACAAAAGTACTTTCTTTTGTCATTGACTAATAGTTTGCTGTCACTGTTGTGAAACAGAACAGATATAAGAGATTGTTGTCATTAACAGCGACTAGATACAAGCTATGGAAAATACTGGAGGGCCAGGTCACAGCTCTACATAGTAAAATAACAAAATGCAGAATAGAGCCAGTGAAGAGCAGGGGTGCCATAGACACAGTCAGAGAACACTGTATAAACATCAGAGGTACACGGTTGTTCAACATCCTCCCAGTGAGTATAAGAAATATTGCCAGAACAACTGTGGACATCTTCAAGAGAAAACTAGATAATTTTCTTCAAGAAGTGCCTGACCAACCATAGTGGATATGTGGGCCTGCGGGCCGATCCAAGCAACAGCCTGGTGGACCAAACTCTCACAAGCCGAACTCCCCAAGCCCGGTCTGTCTTCAGGACGGGCTTGGGGAGTAGAAAAACTTCCAAAACTCCATCAAGCAGGTATGGTTGAATGCTCGCTTCCACATCACGCAACAAAGCAGCCCGTCCTCCTAAGATTTCCCAACGTCAAGAAAACGGTTAGTTTAAAGTGTCTTCTCCTAACCTACCAGAGGACCCAAAACAGAAAACTGGACAGTAGTCACTTTCGCCAGCCGCTTCTATTTTCTAGTACGACAATTTTTGGCCGTATGTAACGCATACGAGCGAAAAGCGATGCTCTTTGTAGGAGGACAAGTTGTACAGTTCTCTCATTATCATTCTTGATATGCTTCTCATCCAGATTATTTTACGGCTCTTCACTCGAGCTCAGCCAGAACAGTAACATTATGTATAAAGTAAAATTAATGAATGATTATTTGTGAGAATAGCATGCTTAGAGAGCATCATGATATTCATTGTTAGGCGTCTAAAAAAAAATATTCGGTAAA